TACATACACTCCTAACAGCACCTATAAAGCCAACCTTCATTCCCTTCTCTCTAATCTTTATTCCAATGCCAACCGACACAATGGTTTCTACAACACCACAGTCGGCGGCAGCGGCTCCAACGACGACACCGTGTACGGCTTGTTCTTCTGCCGGGGGGACGTCTCCACTGAGGTTTGCCAAAACTGCATTGGAGATGCCCGTATAGAGATACTGGAGCTTTGCACAAATGGAACGACGGCTATAATTTGGTTCGATAAGTGTATGTTGCGTTACTCGGAGAAGTCCATGTTCGGGATATTAGACCAATCGACCAGGTTTACGATGAGAGACCCGGATAACAATACTGATCCAAATGCGTATATGCTATTGGTGGGAAACATGTTGGATCAGATAATGACTCGAGCATCCAGTGATTCCGATGAGAAATTTGCAGTGTTAGAAGCTAATTTTAGTGTTTTTGAGAAGGTGTACGCTCTTGGACAGTGTACCCCCGACCTTTCTAACGTTGACTGCCAGACATGCCTCAGAAGTTCTATTGCATTGCTGCCTATTTGGTGTTATGGAGCCATAGGTGGTAGAGCTGTGTACCCAAGCTGTAATGTTAGGTATGAGCTCTCCCCTTTCTACAATCTCTCTGCCTTGGAAGCACCCGCGGAGCCTCCTATCCCCCCGCCTCCTCCACCACTGACTATGCTTCCCAATTCCTCTAGTAGCAAAGGTAAACCTGAAGCTCATTCCTTAGCTAGCTTGTTTGAGTCTATGTAAGTCAGGATTAATTTCAGTTTTCAAGCTAAGGTAACCTGAAGCTCATTCCTTAGCTAGCTAGCTAGCTTGTTTGAGTCTATGTAAGTCAGGATTAATTTCAGTTTTCACGCTAAGGTAAATAAAAATTAAAGTTATGAGTAAGGTCGAATGGCTATATGCTCAACACGCCCCTCACACGTGGACCGTAATCGTTTATGGGTGGCGTTGAGATTTGAACCCAACCCATGACCTTTGGTATACCAAATTGAAGCCATGTGCTCCATCTCAACTAAAAGCCTAAGCTGATAGTTGGATTGCACATTAATGACTATATGCTCAACATTCTTTATATTCATGCAGGGAATAAAGGAAAATCTTCTGCAAAAGTTATAGCAGCCTCTGTAGTGTCAGCCACTGGGATAATATTACTCTTCGTTTTATGCTTCTATTTCTTGAAAATAAAAAGAGAAAAGAAGACCCATTCTCATGTGAAGGAGATAACAACTGGTAATATATATAAATATAACTAGCTGATTATCAATTGGGTTCGTCTATTGATCTGTTCTTGTTAGTAATATAATACAAATCTGTTTGTCATTTAATCTATATGTCATGTAGATATGACTGAGATTCCAACTGAGTCGGCACAATATGATTTTGGTACTATTGAAGCTATCACAAATTACTTTTCCCCCGATAATAAGATTGGTGAAGGTGGATATGGTGTTGTTTACAAGGTATAGTACATACAAATCCTGTCTTGTTTGCAAGATTAGCTAGACTTTGAGTTTAATTATATATTGTTTATTAGTACTGACTGTTGTATTGGTGGTACTCACGTTGTACTGCTCAGGGAAGGCTTCCCAACGGACAAGAGGTAGCAGTGAAGAGGCTATCAATGAGTTCAAGACAGGGAGCTGTTGAATTCAAGAATGAGGTTGCATTGGTTGCCAAGCTTCTGCATAGAAACTTAGTAAAGTTGCTGGGGTTTTGCTTGCATAGAGAGGAAAAGATACTCATCTATGAGTTTGTTCCCAACAAAAGTCTTGACTACTTTTTGTTTGGTTAGTATAAATTTTGAAGTTGAGAGATCATAATTAATAGTAACGTAATCTAACTTGAAGACTTGAATTTGTTAATTATTATGCAGATCCAGAGAAGAAGCAACTATTGAATTGGTCCACTCGTTTCAAGATTATTGTAGGAATAGCCCGTGGACTCTTTTACTTACATGAAGATTCACGTTTCAAAATTATACATCGTGATTTGAAAGCAAGCAACGTTCTATTAGACGAAGATATGAACTCAAAAATATCAGACTTTGGCTTGGCAAGGATTTTTATGGTTGATCAAACTCAGGGAAATACAAGTAAAATTATTGGAACATAGTAAGTTTAATTTTTAATTTTCAGAAGTGTATGAAATTTCTAATGTGGATAGCGTGCACTTAGATTTTATCATTTCAGTATCAATTCATCACGTGAGGAAGTACTATTCTTCATAAACACATATAAAACAACTAGAAGTCATTCTTGTTTGATTATATCATTTATTTATGTTATGGTTTTGCAGTGGTTACATGTCTCCCGAGTATGTTATGCATGGCTTGTTCTCTGTAAAGTCAGATGTTTTCAGTTTCGGAGTTCTACTTTTAGAGATTATTACGGGAAAGAGAAACAATTCTTCATCCATGCAATCAACTGGAGCTAAAGATCTTCTTAGCTATGTGAGTATATTAGAAAATCCATATCAAAAAACTAAATAAGAATCACATATTCACATTATAAACTAATTAACGTTGCAGGCTTGGAAACATTGGAGGGAAGACAGAGCATTAGAGATAGTGGATCAAAGTCTCGGAGGATTGTATTCGAGAAATGAAGTGATCCAATGTATCAATGTTGGGTTGTTGTGTGTCCAAGAGGAGGTGGATGAAAGGCCAACAATGGCGAATGTTGTGCTGATGCTCAATAGTTTTTCTGCATCAATGAAGACACCTAATCCACCTGCATTTTTCAACGGTGGAATTGAGAAGATTTCGGCCAGACAAGAAGCGGATCAGTCTAAAAGCAAGTCACAGCCATTGTCTGTGAATGAAATTTCCACTTCAGAGTTGTATCCAAGATAGTTATAAGCAAAACGAAAATACTTGGTGGACTCTACCCAAAGTCCCAAAGATGTGTTGTAATTGTGTAAGGTTTTTTTTTTTTCAATGATGGAATTGAGATGATTTCAGCAGGACAAGAGGCGGATCAGTCTAGAAGCAAGTCACTACCATTGTCTGCCAATGAAGTTTCTACTTCAGAGCTGTATCCAAGATAGTTATAAGCAAAAAAAATATAATCCTTCCAACAATAATGTTAGTGTCAATGTCTCCCTAAGATGTGTAATTGTCTAAGGTAGCGGGACCTTTTATTTACAAGTCTTCTGTCTTTCAGTTGAAAATTCAGCATGAATGATATTGTTTGTTTTGTCCCTATGAGATTTGTTTTTGGCACTCAGTCAAAAGAAATAAACCTGCATTTTCAAATTTGAAATTTTTGCATGGATTGGATTACCATGTGTATGTTTTATTTTGTACTTTATTATTTTTATTAGGGAAAATTGTAAAAAAGTCCCTCTATAATATGTCAATTATCAATGTCACTCCTGAATTATAAGTGGTGTAAATTTTGTCCCTCAATTATCAAAACGATGCACATATAGCCCCTCCCGTAACGGACATGTGGTTCCCCGTTAGTGTATGACACCGTTAAGTCGGAGTAAATATGTAATTTAGTTGTTTTTTCCCTCCCTCGATTCGAAGTACCAGTGATGGACAGCGGTGGGGAACCACAGGTCCGTTACGGGAGGGGCTATATGTGCATCATTTTGATAACTGAGGGGCAACATTTACACCACTCATAATTCAGGGGTGACATTGATAATTGGCATATTATAGAGGGGCATTTTTTACAATTTTCCCTTTTTATTATCATACTAAGCATTTTGACCCTCTTTTCGGATGCATGTTTTCCTAATTTTATTTCCTGACCAGTCGGGTACTGTATTTAAAAATAATTTTTAAATTTATTTTAATAATTTCAAATAAAATAATTGTTTTCAAAAAAAATAAAATAATTATTTTAAATTTTTTTTTTAAAAAAAAAGTCTGGCCAAAAACGAAGGGGACCCCTTCATCTCCAGCCCTTCGTCTCTGTTGCTAGCCGGAGACGAAGGGGTCCGACCGCATAGGACACATCTGGCCTAGTGATGACAAGTTATTGCAACAAGCCAAGGAGACGCCAAAACTGAGTGACATCACCCAGCACAGTACCAGATTGCGCAAGAAGCAGTTTGTCCGTGGTAACCAATGGTGTTGAAACAGCCATTGCAGCATCCATCTTGAACCAGAACAGAATATCCGTGATACTGACTTTGAGACAGGAACACACCACCAGGCGTTGGACCGACCTCAATACCCAAGAAATGATGCAAAGAACCAAGATCTTTAAGAACAAACTGAGCGGATAACGTGTAAACAAACCGATCGAACCAAGCAGCATCTTTAGCTGTTAGGATAATATCATCCACATACATCAGGAAATAGATAATGATGTTACTGGGCAGAATAAATAAATAAGGAGGCATCTGCTTGTGACTTCAAAAAACCACAATGCAATAAAAACTGTGAGAGCTCCAAGTACCACGCCCTAGGTGCCTGCTTAAGACCGTATAAAGCTTTAGTCAGCTTGCAAACATGGGATGGGAACGAAGGATCCACAAAACCCTGTGGCAACTCCATGAACACTTCCTCATGCAATGTCCCATGAAGGAACACATTATTAATATCTAACTGACGCAAGGATTAGCGGTTACTCAAGGCAATAGTCAAAACCACACGGATGGTCACTGGTTTCATGACTAGGCTATATGTTTCAAAATAATCCCAGCCAGCAGTCTGCAAAAACCCTTTAGCGACAAGCTGTGCTTTATACCGATCCATCGACCCATCCGGTTTGCGCTTGACACGATAGACCCACTTGCAGCCAATCGGGACAGCTGCTTCGCGGGGAACCAATTGCCACGTTTTGTTACGTTGGAGCGCTTCAAACTCCTCATCCATCACTTTCCTCCACCGAGCGCCTTTAAGAGCCTGGGCGACGGTAGAAGGTTCTAAAGTGGGAGGCAAGGGATGTGACGTGATTTGGTTAATGACATAATCAAAATATCTAGGATTAGGACGACGCTCCCAGGAAGAACAACGTAGATTATTCTATTGCTGAGAAATTTCGGAGGTGGTGACGGGCTGGGAGTCAGACACGGATTGGCCTACATGTTGGCCACTTTGTGGAATAGTAGGGGACGACGAAGTGGACGCAGTTGACGGTATTGGAATTGGAGTTGGAATTGGAGTTGGAACTGGAGTTGGAACTAGAGTTGGAACTGGAGTCGGAACTGGAGTTGCAACACCCACCAGAGTAGGTTGTCGGTAGTCAACTATGTTAGAGAGAGACGTACCTGGAGAAGCCACAAAGGTCGGCGTGGGTGATTGCACAGCCGGGGGAATGATCTCGACCTGTGTAGACAAAGAGGATGATTTTAACAAAATATTGCATAATTCGGAACCATGCAAATCAAATGGTGAGCTGCTAGACGCTTTTTGCAAATCGTTATAAGGAAATACACGAGGCAAAAGTCTAACATGCCTGTTGGTTTTCACAGCCTCGATGGCCGTTCGGCAGGCCAACACTACCGAAAGATGTGTTTACGAGATGATGAAAACAAGAGATAGAATATCTAAAAGAAAGAGAGAATAATGCGATAAAGGGTTTGCCCTTCAGAGTGCCGATCCGATACATGGTGATCCCGGAGGAATATTTATACATGAGCACGAGGCTCGTATATGGTAAGTATAGTTGACGTAACGTCAAGCCTAGAGACGGGTAGGGCTGACGTAAGGCTGATGCAGCCATCTACTTATTACCATAAACCGTCTAGACTAATTAAGGAAGCTACTTAAACAGACAGAGACTGCTTCCGTAGAATCTGCTGATATTCGTTTCTGGGTATGCGCCCAGTCAGGAATGCCTGGCCGCCATGGAGTATCTTCTGGGGTCATCGCATCCAGGCGAGGACACTCCACCTACGTAGCTTGGTCTCTCGGTCGGGTTCAAAGTGGTGCCTGGTCGGGGACACACCGCCCTCGCAGCCTGGTCGTCCATCTGAATCCGCTAGGGTATTCAGCCGGAGACACGCCGACTACTGAGGCTGGTCCCCCAACCGAGCCTCGTCCGAGAGCCCGTCCGGGGACACACCGACTGCTGAGATTGGTTGCTGAAAGATGAGCAGCTGCCGCCGTCGGACGTCTTGTATAATGGTCGGGAAGGGTCCCAGGAATCCCCTTCACGCTAAGTATTGAACAATACTTTGACCCGACTGCCTTGCCTGACCTTCCCGTCCAGGCGGCTAATCTGGGGTATCTATCAATGCCTAGATACATAAATACGATTGGAATTAGGATCCAGACATTTATAACCCGATTGAGTGTTGGAGTAGCCAAGAAAGACACACGGGCGTGACTTCGACTATAGCTTCTTGGTGTTATAAGGACGCACCCACGAGAAACATAAGCAGCCAAAAGGTTGTAACTTACTATAGTTAGGCGACTGATGAAACAGGACATAAACCGAAGACTGATTACCTAAGACCGGTGTGGGGAGTCGGTTGATGAGGTAGAAGGCCGCCTGAAAGGCATAGGTCCAGTACGAGGACGACAGGGATATAATGTGGAGTGAAGGAGGGCCAAACCGGTTTCAACAACATGCATGCATGTGTCGTCGCTCTGCGACACCATTATGCTCAGGAGTGTGTGGTGGGATGGTGAAATGAGAAATACCATGAGTGTTCAGAAACGGTATAAGTTTTACAAATTCTCCCCCATTATCTGAGTAAATAGAAATAATCGGAAAGCCAAAGAATTTTTTCACTAATTGTTTGAACTGAGTAATTATTGTAAAAACATCTGACTTACGCTTCATGGGGTATAGTCAAATGTATTTCGAAAAGTGGTCTACAAATATTAAATAATAGTAAAACTCATCAATAGACTTTCCAGTAGGCCCCCATACATCGGTATAGATTAACTGCAGAGGTTTAGTGCTAACAAGGGTATTTTTTGTGAAGGGCAATTTATGGCTTTTATGAATATTGCAGGAAGAGCAGTAGAATTGTCGCGGAGACGACATAGAGACTGGAACATTACAACGTTGCAACACCTTATTAGACGGATGGCCAAGCTGTTGGTGCCACTGAGACAGAGAGGACAACTGCGTAGCATGTACTGTTGGGTGAGAAGCAACTGGTCCATAGTAGACACCCTTATGGTTCACTCCCCGCAGTAGAGAAATCCTCGTTCGAAGATCCTTGACAATAAAATGAGAATAAAAAAATTCAACAGACACGCGATTAGTCCTACATTTTTAAACTTTACAGATGTAATTACATAGCACTTTAATAAAAAATATTACATTAATATGTATTTGAGACAAGTTATTAAATTACATTATTGACCTTATTCTTAACGGTAGGTTAACGGAAATTTTAACGGAGAATCAATATTGGCAATCAAATTAAAGTCGAGGATGTAATATGGCAAAATTAAAAGAGTAGGAGTAAATGTGGCAACGCCACAATAGTCGAGGACTAAAAATGGAATTTACTCTTTATTCATTTTAATAATTTGAGTATATTTATTATGTCAATATAAGTAAATTTTAGAGTAAATAGTAAGGTATGTGTAATTTTTTTTTTTTTTTTTTGAGTGACGATGAAAATTTGTAGCCACTAACGATATAAAAGCTATCGGAATAATTATAAAAAGTAGTTTTGTATTGTTAAGAGTCTTAATACAAAGTTTTAGAGTGTGTCTGATGAAAAGGTTGAAGCTACATTGAAGGTGAAGAAACAGAGGGAATGTGATTGGAAGAAGAGAGAAGTGTGTAATCTGGAATGAAGTCTCACAGTACATTTAGAGCCAAGAGCTCCTTTTATTACAACAAAGGCAAAAGAAACGGTTATAACTAATTGTGATGGAAAAGACAAAAAAACCCCTGAAGGGAAAAGCTTAAGAAAAAACAGCAGCAGCTCTCAGCTCTTTTCTTCATCAACTCAAGTCACTTCATCACCCCCCCTTAAGCTGGAGCGTGAATATCATGAAGGCCTAGCTTACCATGGAAATCTTCAAACAACATCTTAGGCAAGGCTTTAGTAAATCCATCTGCAAGCTGCTGTTGTGAGGTAACACTCATCAACTTGATCACCCTTTCATTCACTTTTTGTCTCACCACATGGCAGTCGATCTCAATATGCTTTGTTTGCTCATGGAAGACATAATTTTCACCTATAGCAATGGCAGATTTGTTATCACAAAAAACATGAATAGGACTGTTAGTGTTCACTCCTAAATCAGCCAACAAGTACACAAGCCATTGAATCTCACAAACTGTTGAAGCCAAAGCTCTATATTCAGCCTCCGATGAAGATCTTGAAACAGTAGCTTGCTTTTTAGTTTTCCAGGAAATAAGAGAATCCCCAAGGTAGATGCAATACCCTGTAAGAGATTTTCTGCTTTCAGCACATGTGGCCCAATCTGAATCAGAAAATCCTTTGAGCTGAATCTGAGACTTTGAAGGATAAAACAAGCCTTTTCCTGGGGACCCTTTAAGGTACCTTAGTACTCTATGAGCTGCACTGAGATGAACATCCTTGGGTTTATCAACAAACTGGCTCAACTGTTGCACAGAATAAGAAATGCCAGGCCTAGTGTTGGTTAAGTACAAAAGTTTGCCAACTAGTTTTCTGTAAACTTCAGGATTGGCAAGTGTTTCTCCCTCAGTGCTGATGAGTTTCTGTCCTGCCACACAAGGTGTTCTGGCAGGTTTAGAATCTAGGAAACCATTTTCCTCAAGGATCTCTAAGGTGTACTTCCTTTGGCACAAGTTGAGACCACTGGAAGTTCTTAGAGTTTCAATCCCCAAGAAATAACTCAGTTTGCCAAGATCCTTTATCTTAAAAGATGCATCCAACTTCTGCTTCAGTGCCTGTATCTGATTAGGATTTGTGTCTGCCACAAGTATATCATCAACATATACAAGTAAAGCCAAATAAGAATCATGAGAAGTTTTAGTGAAAAGTGAGGGATCAGCTGTGGATTGCTGGAAACCATCACTCAGAAGAGCTTTTGTGAGATTAATGTTCCATTGTCTACTGGCTTGTCTTAGGCCATACAAAGACCTGAGCAACTTGCAAACTTGTTTGGGCTTATCACTTTCAAAACCTGGGGGTAATAGCATGTAAACTTCTTCATCCAAGTCCCCATGTAGGAATGCATTGTTGATGTCAAGCTGTTGGATGTCCCACCCTTTAGCAACAGCCACTGCTAAGAATGTCTTAATGGTGGTCATTCTAGCCACAGGTGAGAAAGTTTCAAGGTAGTCAATGCCCAACTGTTGGGTGTATCCCTTTGCAACCAACCTTGCCTTATACCTTTCTATAGAACCATCAGCCTTATGTTTGATCTTATACACCCATCTACATCCAATTGGTGTTTTCCCTTGAGGCAAGTCCACCAAGGTCCATGTATTATTGTGAATCAGGGCTTCTATTTCTGATTGCATAGCCTTTCTCCAAGGTTCAAGTTGTACTGCCTCACTGTAGGACTGTGGTTCTTGTGTGGCAGAAATAGCTGAAATGCAACACTTATAGTTATGAGGCAAATTGTCATAAGAAACAAAATTCCTAATGGGATGAGGAGATGTCCTTGTTCTTGGTTCATTTCCCACCATGGTGTGACAATAATAATCATGCAACTTTGCAGGAACTCTCCTCTGCCTATCTGTTCTTCTGGGCTGCAATTGCTCAACAGAATACTGTGGAGGACTTACATTTGTATTTGCCTCATCATATGTTTCATTGACCATCTCAGTAGGTGCATGAGCTGTGGACTCAGAACTCTCAGTACCAAGCTGTTCATCACTGTATCTGTCACCAGCATTATTGTTCAAATATTCTGAGTCATTGTTCACAAAGTCTTCTGTAAGGTGTCTAGAGCTAGTAGGCCTCCCTTGGAGATTAAACTCTGAGTCAAGAGAAGTGGGGACAAGGGGCAATGAAGGAGCAAATATCTCACCCTTATCAGGCTCAGCAGCAATTTCCAGAACCTGTTTCTTAAAAGGGTAAGTTTGCTCATAAAACTTAACATCCCTGGATATGAATACAACCTTATCATTGAGGTCATAGAGAATGTAACCTTTGACATCAGCTGGAAAGCCTAGGAAGACACACTTTCTAGCCCTAGATTGCATTTTGGTCCTCCCTGATGAGACAGTGGCACCAAAACACAAACATCCAAAAGATCTCATCTGTTGGTAGTCTATCTGTTTTCCAGTTAAAACTTCAAAAGGTGTGTTTCCATCAATCACTTCAGTAGGCAATCTATTAATGAGGTAGGATGCATGCAACACACAGTGGCCCCAAAATTTGTCAAGCAGCCCAGAATGAAACTTTATAGACCTAGCCACATTTAAAACATGCTGATGTTTCCTTTCTGCCACTCCATTTTGTTGGGGTGTATATACACATGATTTCTGGTGGATGATACCCTTTTCATTGAGGAAGTCATCCATAAAGAACTCAGTTCCATTATCTGTTCTTATTTTCTTGATTTTAGTGGCAAATTGAGTATACACATAGTTGTAGAAGGCCTGAAACTTAGACTTAACTTCTGTTTTATTTTTTAGCAAATGCAGCCAAGTGAATCTACTATGATCATCAATGATAGTAAGAAAATAATGTTCCCCTTTCAAAGAAGCAACAGAGAAAGGCCCCCATACATCCATATGCAATAAATCAAAAACTTTCTCAGCTCTAGAACTGCTAACTGGAAAGGATGACCTCTTATGTTTTCCAAAATGGCAAGCATCACATACAAATTCAGACTGTTTATTAATGAAAACAGGTTTTATTCCATTCAACAAGGGAATTTTGGTAATAGGATAATGTCCTAGTCTATTATGCCAAATCTCAATGGTTAAATTGTTGCACTGACTCTCAGTGTTCTCAACAGCAACTTGAATTCTTTTCTTCATGGGAGGACTACTGATTAAGTACAACCCATCCTTTTGTCTAGCAAAACCATCCACCATTCCAAGTAGTCCCTGAACAGCACATGAATCAGGCCCTATGACAAGCTTACAATCTGATTGTTTAGTCAACTTGCTAACAGAAACAATGTTGAAGGCAAATGAGGGAATAAACAGCACATTCTGAAGCAATATGTTTTCATCAAGTCTGATTTGTCCTATGTGAGTGACTTTTACTGTCTCACCATTTGGAAGTTTGACAGATATTCCATAAACTCTATGACAGTTCTCAAAATAATCTAGGGAGCAAGTAATGTGATCTGTAGCTCCTGAGTCTAGAATCCACATAATGCTTGAGTTTAAAACAGCACCTACATGAGAATTAAAATGGAGATTACCTCCATCATGCATTCCACTTGATTCTCTGAATTCTGATCTGATTCCAGGTGTGGTCACTGTCACAGCAGCAGTATTTGAAGCCTGATCCCCTTTGTTCTGATTCTGCAAAAGAGATAAAAGTTTTTGAAATTGATCATGAGAAATACCAATATCTCCCACTTGGCTCACAGAGGCACTTGAAGCATTTGAGGTCTGTTGCATTCCCTGAAACTATTTGTTCTTGGACTTATAGCCTTGCACCCATCCAGGAGGGAAACCATGCTTTTTGTAACATTTTTCAATGGTATGACCAGTCATACCACAATAGGTACACTTAGGTGTATTCTTCCCACTGTTATTAAAGAACTTCTTCTTATTGTTGAAAGTAGTAGCTGCTGCAACAGATTGTTCTTCATCTGCTTGGTTTTGGACAGCATTGGACTGACTGATATCATTGCACTTTTGATTGATTGCCCCTCTGATTTTCCTTTCCATCTTCAATGTCATATTGAGCACCTTCTCTAGTTCCGGAATTGGATCCATAACTAGAACTCCAGCCTTAATACTATCATACTCTTCGTTTAGGCCTTCTAGAAACCTGATTATCTGATCTTCTTCTTTCTGTTTTTGCATCCTGCTCATTAAAGTACATGAACACCTCGGCTCACATTCACACAGCAACAAAGGCCTGAGAGAACTCATTTGCTGCCATAAGGCATTACACTTAGTAAAATATTCATTCACGGACATGTTGCCTTGGACGTTCTTAAAAATCTCACTCTGAATTTCCGAAATTCTGTGTGAATCCGATTGCGAATACCTCTTCTGGAGTGCCTTCCAAATATCAGAAGCTTTGTCGAAATACATAATGCTGTCCGCGATGCTAGGATTCACTGATTTCAAAATCCACGAGCACACAATACGATTGCACCTCCTCCATGAGGTAATTCTGGAATCGGATTCATTAGGGATTGGAATCTCTCCTGTAACAAAACCAAGCTTATTCTTCACTTCCAGAGCAATTCTCATTGCCCTACTCCAAGAGGCGTAATTCAATTCAGTTAACGGCGGCGAAACCAGGCTCAAATTTGGATTCTCCGTTGCGTGCAGATATAGGGGATCATCAAATTCCTCGCCGCGTTGATTTGGACTTGCGGTCGTCTGGTTCGGAGAACTTCCTGCGTTCTCCATCGATCGGTCGTTTCCAGCGGCATTAGTTTCCACCACTGCGGCGTAGCTCCGGCGTAGCTCTGATACCATGATGAAAAGGTTGAAGCTACATTGAAGGTGAAGAAACAGAGAGAATGTGATTGGAAGAAGAGAGAAGTGTGTAATCTGGAATGAAGTCTCACAGTACATTTAGAGCCAAGAGCTCCTTTTATTACAACAAAGGCAAAAGAAACGGTTATAACTAATTGTGATGGAAAAGACAAAAAAACCCCTGAAGGGAAAAGCTTAAGAAAAAACAGCAGCAGCTCTCAGCTCTTTTCTTCATCAACTCAAGTCACTTCATCAGTGTCCCTCAATTGTAACATGAGGTCAGTCTTTATACTAATTGTACTGTTGAAAACAGGTTGCAACTAACCGTATGACCTTGAGTGTTGCAAATTTGGCACCGCGACACATAAGGTCGATCGCCACACTGCCTATGTCCACGGCCGCGACGGGCACCACAACCCTGCAATGACTGCTGGCCACCAAATCTGCCACCACGTTGCGCTGCCATCGCCGTAGGACCGGTGGAGCTGCCTCCGAGAGCTCCATCATCAGCACAAATGAACTCTTGGGAAACAAAAAAGTAGAGTTCTAATAATTACACTTGACACGTGCACATTATAAATCTTAGAAATTAAGATACATTATAAATGTATCATTACAAAATTACTCAATTATAAATAAATATTATAGTTTGATAACATACACAAATTAACGTACACTATAAATCTCTCTTTTAACATTTTTTTTGGGCACAAATTCATGAATGAGTTTATTTTCTTCTCCTTCATTGTAAAATCTCAAAAGTCTAAAACCAAATTTCTATGTCAAAACTTGGCAACTACATCAGATTAACCTCATTCCTGAACTCTTGAATTATAACTCTCCAAGAATGATTCATTTGTACGTGCGGTAAAGTTATAAACTATTATTGATTTGACAAATTAAATTCAAATTTCATAATCGCAAATTAAAGAAAGATAGATTGAATTATATATAAGTATAAACAATAAACCAATCTTGAAAGAAATGGGTCCCACTAACTTAGAAAGTTTGAAGGAAGACTTTGTCGTTAAACAAGTACCCCATCTTTAGGAAGACTTTGACATTGACACTGACAATAGCGTTGATTTGGTGTACAACAAATCAATCAGGAAAGAACTATTTCAGTCGATTCCTTGAATAGCTTAAGTGGTCGATCACTTAATTTAATATTTATATTTTGATAAAAAGGTGGAGATGGATTCTTTATGACTTGCGATTTATCTCTTCTAACCACTCTTGAGTTATGAGAACTTATAAGTAGTCTGGCGTAGGCTAAAAATAAACTTAATGTATAAAAAAAAAAATATTTCAGCCTAAAATTATCTAGGATAGAGCTCCGAAGTGGAAACTTGATTCAATGACAATGGTTTTGGCTTGTTTCTGGATTGAACCGCCTCTTGTCCTGCCAAAATCTGACTTAAACCGGTGAAAAATGCAGGTGGATTAGGTGTCCTCCTTGTAGCAGAATAACTATTTAGCATCAGCACTACATTCGCCATTGTTGGCCTATCATCCACCTCTTCTTGGACACACAACAGCCCAACATGGATACATTGAATCACTTCATTCCTCGAATACAATCCTCCAAGACTTTGATCCACCATGTCTAAGGGTCTGCCCTCCCTCCAATGCTTCCAAGCCTGCAACATTAACCAATTCCATGCTCAACCCAGTATAAAATGTTTGTGCTTCAAATTAAAACAGATATTTTCAGTTTTTGTTATGATGAATTTTTTAATATATATACTCACATAGCTAGGAAGATCTTGAGGTCCAGATGATTCCATGTAGCTGGGGAAAGAACTATTTTTCATTCCGGTTATAATCTCTAAGAGTAAAACTCCGAAACTGAAAACATCTGACTTCACAGAGAACAAGCCACGCATAACATATTCGGGAGCCATGTACCCACTGTAACATAACAACCATAGCATAAATATAGGATGTAATTAATCAAACAAGAACAACTACTACTCTAAGCTTCTTTAGCAAGAATATAATGGTTAATGGAACTTCCTGAGATGTGAGTTGAATAAACAATTTAGATTACAAACATATGTGAGAATTAAAACTTACTATGTTCCGATAACTCTACTTGTATTTTCTTGAGTTTGATCAATCATAAAAATCTTTGCCAGGCCAAAGTCAGATATTTTTGAGTTCATATCTTCGTCTAATAACACGTTGCTTGCTTTCAAATCACGGTGTATAATTTTGAGATATGAATCCTCATGAAGATAAAGGAGTCCACGAGCTATTCCTTCTATGATCTTATAACGAGTGGGCCAATTCAATTGTTGCTTCTTCACTGGATCTGCATAATAATGATTAACAAACTTAATTTATTAAACCCAAAAAATTCAAGTTATTATTCTAATATCTCTATTTTAATTTCTAGTCAGAAACTAACCAAATAAAAAGTAGTCAAGACTTTTGTTGGGAACAAACTCATAGATAAGTATCTTTTCTTCTCCCTGCAAGCAAAACCCCAACACCCTTACTAAATTTCTATGTAGAAGCTTGGCAACCAATGCAACCTCATTCTTGAATTCTGCAACTCCTTGTGTTGAACTTTTTGATAGCCTCTTCACCGCTACCTCTTGTCCGTTGGGAAGCCTTCCCTGAGTATCGTCATTTACCAAACAGGGTCATAGTCAGTAAACAATTAAAATTTATAAGTCTAAATTGTTGTCTTGCACATTAAAAGACAAAATCAAACTATACCTTGTAAACAGCACCATATCCACCTTCACCAATCTTATTATCCGGAGAGAAGCAATTTGTGATAGCTTCAATAGTACTGAACTCATATTGTACCGACTCCTCTGTTGGAATCTCAGTCATGTCTACATGATTTATAAATGGCAAACGGATTTAATTAATATGTATTACTAATAAGAACAATGGATAATAAGCACATGCAATCTGGTGCTATATTACCAGCAATTGTCTCCTTCACTGAAAGGGCCTTCTTAGCTCTTCTCTTTTTCAAGAAACAGAAGCATAAAACGAAGAGCAATATCCCAGTGATTGACCCTACAGAGGCTGCAATAATCACTTTTCCAGAAGATTTTCCTTTATTCCCTGCATGAATATATCCAAATGGACCTTAATAATTTTCTATTAACCTTGAAAACGGAAATTATAATTAATCCTCAATCACAGATACACTCTAACAATTAGCAAGATTATGGATTGCAGAATTTGTACAAATTTCTTGTAAGTGTTACCAGCTGTATATACTATATTCAATGTGCACACCCTAAAATAGTAGTTGTTGGTTTCCTTCGTTATTCAAAAAAAAAAAAAAAAAAAAAAATAGTTGCCTCCGCACAACAATTTCAACTCCCATAACTGCACAATGTACCCTTTTAATTCTTGCTTGGACTATTAAAATCTGGGATCCGATTCTGATGCCACTTGTTAGAACAAGTGCTTATCACCAAAACTTATAGCTTAGATCGAATATAATGCGCTACTTGATTCTAACAAGCTACTTGATTCTAACAAGTGGTATTAGAACTAAGTCACGGATTCGAGTTTGAGTTTTAGCTGCAGGAATTGTTAGGCAGAGGTTACACTGCTGGGAATTATGAAATTTCTGACCACCTGAAAATGATCTTAAATCAAGTCGAAAGTCTTGTTCCGACCACTTTTGGTATCCAGAAAAACTTTGCTACTATTTCCGACCATTTTTTTGCTTTCGATTTGATATAAGATCAATTTCAGGTGGTCGAAAATTTCATAATTTCCAGCAGTGCTAGTAAAGGGTATAAAAAATCACCAAATTATATCAAGTTTACCTTTGCTGCTAGCGGAATTGGGAAGCATAGTAGGAGGAGGAGGATGGATAGGAGGGGGCGCCGGTGCGGCCACGGCCGAGAGATTGTAGAAAGGGTAAAGCTCGTACCTAACGTAACAGTTAGGGTACACAGCTCTAGCACCCACGGCGCCATTACAGCAACGAGGCAGCAATGCAATAGCACTTCTGAAACATATTTGACAGTCAACGTTAGAAAGGTCAGGAGTACACTGTCCAAGAGCATACACCGTCTCAAACACACTAAAATTAGCTTCTAAAACAGCAAATTTCTTGTCGGAGCCAGTGGAAGCCCGAGTGGTTATCTCGTCCAACATTTTCCCCACCAACCGCATGTACGCATTTGGTTGAGTATCGTTATCCTTGTTATTCATCGTGAACCATGTCGTCTGGTCGAACTTCCCCAACATGGACGTCTCCGAGTAACGCAACATGCAGTTATCGAACCAAATCATAGCCGTCGTTCCATTGGTGCAAATCTCTAGTATCTCTTTACGGGCATCTCCAATGCAGTTGCGGCAAACGTCCGGGGAGACGTCGCCCCGGCACAAGAACGAGCCGTACACGGTGTCGTTGGAAGCGCCGCCAGGGCCGACGGTGGTGTAGTAGAAACCGTTGTCTCGGGTGGCATTGGAATAGAGATTAGAGAGAAGAAGGTCAAGGTTGGCTTTGTAGGGGCTGTTAGGAGTGTAATAAAGTCTATCTGGGCAGCGATGTCTTAGATCAAGAGAAGAGCTACCTTTGGTGATGGTGATGGTGATGAAGCTCATCAACAAGAAAAACCAAATTGTGATCATTGTATTGCGTGATGGTGTATACGTATGTATATCACAGCAACATAAGTACATATGTATAGTAGTAGCAGTAGGTTGTTTTATTTATTGTCGTATAGTAGGAACAGCGTGAAGGAAGGAGTAGACAGGAGTTTAGGTTGAACCTTCAATTCTAAGGGTCTCACACCCTGATCTATAGAACATTTGAGAGTATGTAAATTACCCTGACTTAATGGTTCAGCAACCAGGATTACTGTCTCTTCTAAATACTGTCTATTGAATCAGTGAGCTAAGTCCGTGCAGACAGTATTTGATTAAGTATTCACAAGATGAGATGTCGCGAATCTTATTTGGTACGGACAGAATTACTCTTATAATTAGTCTCAGAATTGAATAGATTATATCTTACACGAACAAAATTAATCTTAGTGTGGCTTAATTAAGTGGTTATTGGTTTTCAAAAAAAAATGGTTATTGGAGGAAAGTGTTTCGATAAAAGATTAGGGAACACAATAGTTTCACTGCATATTTGTTCATAAAAGGGGATAAATCACCACTGCAGGGTGGTCAAATTATAGAGGGCTTAATGACACGCGCATAGAGTTCGGCGCAGTACACAGCGTCCGTGCGACATCCTGGGACTCTTCACAGCCTGCGGATCAGTCTTTACCCACATACGAGTCAATCTGGTTTCGTCGTGCCATGGGCTCATCATGGAAGTAGCAACCGCTCCTAACCAGTTGTGCCCTTCGAATCGCATCAGTTCCCTTCATAGTCAAGTCCAAGACTAGCGACACAGGCTCCCCAAACTTAATTGGCTGACATGCCTAATTCGGTCAGACCTTACCTTCTAAGGCAGAACAACCCTTAACGTTATTGACGCCTCCTTCACCTGCATGGCATTGCTAACCAGTTGGCCGTTTTCACATTCTTTAGGTCTTAACACAGTCACAGAAAAACAGTCCGTGACATTAATCCTGCTTACCTATAATCTATCACCTAAGGACCAATCGAGCTATTTATGCGAAACGTGTTTCAATGCATACTTGTCAAAGGATTTCGTTCTTCCCCTGAGTTGTATCATTAATTGTTGGTATACCGTGTTTTATGGTTTAAAAGACGAAGACTTGAAGAGACTGAGGTAGGTTGTTCATTTATGGTGGAAATTAAAGCTAGTATAGGAATTGATATCTACAGGAGTGGACGGAAACTTTGATATCGAGTTTGGTTCCTAAACGTGACAGACAATTTATTTTTTTTATACTAATAAGTCTAAATTTAATAAAAAAAAAATACATATACATATAATTTTCATTTATAATACAACAATTTTTATAAAAATTTATTTTTATAAATAATAATTTATTAATATAAATTTCATTTATAATACAATAATTTTAATGACAAGTTATTTTTCTAACATTTATTACTAATAGTTTTATTAGGTCAAGTCCACCATAAATCGGTTTACAATTAGTACAATAAGTACAAAGATAATAGACTAGAACACATGCATGTCCATAGGGGCTATGTCAAGGGGATGTTAGCACCATCAACAGAGGGTTATGCCAGGGGTATGTCACCAACACCCACTGCTGAAAATTATGAAATTACCAATCACCTGAAAATAATCTTAAATCAAGTCGAAAGTCTTGTTTCGACCACTTTTGGTGTCAGGAAAAACCTTTATAGCTATTTCCGACCACTTTTTACTTTCGATTTGATTTAAGATCACTTTCAGGTGGTCGGAAATTCTATAATTTCCAGTAGTGACCAATTGAGCTATATCAAGGTAAGTCGGTTAATCGGGTGAGCTGGAGTGAGTGTTACAAATTAAATTAAATGTGAACGACTTTCTCTCTTAATGATCGATGCTTAAATGGATTAGAACACACCTATTAATTTTTGCACTAGGAAAGACGAGAATTGGGTAAGAATCGTAGGATAACTTTATTGATTAATCATATTTTTGTATTTTTGTATGTCACAGGATAGAAATTTAGGGCAAGTCTTTGATTTGGGTGTACAACAAATCGATCTTGTAAGATCTATCGATGCATATTTAATTATATTATCTTGGATACAGCTCTGAAATGGAAGCTTCATTCACAGACAATGGGAGTGACTTTTTTCTGGACTGATCCACCTCTTGTCCTGCAGAAATCATCATATTATTTCTACCGTTGAAAAATGCAGGTGGATTAGGTATCCTCCTATTTGAGGAATTACTATTCAGCATCAACATAACATTCGCCATTGTTGGCCTTTCATCCACATCTTCTTGGACACACAACAACCCAACATGGATACATTGGATCACTTCATTCCTCGAATACAATCCCCCAAGACTTTGATCCACCATCTCTAATGCTCTGTCCTCCATCCAATGTTTCCAAGCCTGCAACATTATATTAACCAGTTTAAAATATAATGTATGTATGTGCTTCAACTAACAGTGATTAATTGTTAGTTTTTGTTGTGGATTTAATTTTCTAATATACTCACGTAGCTAAGAAGATCTTGATGAGCTCCTTCAGTTGAATCCATGGAGAAAGAACTGTTTTTCCTTCCGGTTATAATCTCCAGGAGTAACACTCCAAAGCTGAAAACATCGGACTTCACAGAGAACAAGCCATGCAAAACATATTCGGGAGACATATATCCACTGCAAAACATCAAATCAAACAAGAACAACGTACTATTGTTATAAGTTTCTGGGCAAGAATGGTTAATGCTACTACCTGAGTTGATGAATTGATTAAACTGAAATGATAGTGTATGTATCTAAGTGCATGCTATTCACAATTGATATTATTGCATATATTTCTGAAAATTAAAGTAACTTACTATGTTCCAATAACTCTACTTGTATTTCCATGAGTTTGATCCACCATAAAAATTCTTGCAAGTCCAAAGTCTGATATTTTTGAGTTCATATTTTCATCTAATAATACGTTGCTTGCTTTCATATCACGATGTATAATTTTGAGATGTGAATCTTGATGTAGATAAAGGAGTCCACGGGCTATTCCTCCTATGATCTTGTAACGGATGGACCAATTCAATAGTTGTTTCTTTTCTGAATCTGCATAATAATTAACAAAATTTAAGTCCCAAAGTTATGTTATTATTTTGATATATATATCTACTTCAATCGATAAAATCTCCAATTGGAAAGATTTAGAGTTTGAAACTAACCAAATAAAAAGTAATCAAGACTTTTGTTGGGAACAAATTCATAAATAAGTATCTTCTCTTCTCGGTGCAAGCAATATCCCAGCAACCTTACTAAATTTCTATGTTGAAGTTTGGCAACCAATGCAACCTCATTTTTGAATTCTTCAACTCCCTGTGTTGATCCCCTCGACAGCCTCTTCACCGCTACATCTTGCCCGCTTGGAAGCCTTCCCTGATCGAGCACCACAAATAAAATAATCAGTACAAAACAATTAAATGCATAAGTTTAAAATGAACCCCCAAATATAATCTTGAACATTAAAATATTAGACTTTGACCTTGTAAACAACACCGTATCCACCTTCACCAATCTTGTTATCAGGGGAGAAGCAATTTGTGATAGCTTGAATTGTACTAAAATCATATTGTGCTGACTCCTTGGTTGGAATGTCAGTCATGTCTACATAATGGCAAAAAGATTTGTATTACTAACAAGAACATGCAGATTGATGAGGAACTCAATTGGTAATCTGGTACTATATTACCAGTAGCTGCCTTCTTTGTTCTTTTCATTTTCAAGAAACAGAAGCATAAAACGAAGAGTAATATCCCAGTGATTGACACAACAGAGGCTGCAATAGTCACTTTTCTTCTATTCCCTGCATCAATAGATCAAAATGGACCTTACTCATAATTTTCTATATAAAAAACTGAATTTGGAATATAGAATTTGTGCAAATTTCCATTTAAAATTTGTTTAGAAATTCGAAAAATGACTTATTTTCAGATTTTCACGGGTTTAGATATTACAAAAATAAAGTTAAAAGAAAATATTAATACATCAACATAAAAAGAAAAAAAAAGACTTAATTTGGCAAAAAATGTCTTCCTAAGTCCTAATTAACTAAAGGAAAAATTGCAATTTGCGTCCCTAAGTTATAAGGTAATTGTAGAATTCGTTTCTGAGCGTCGCTCATGCTCACTTATCGTCCCTAAGTTATCATTGGCGTTACACTTTTCGTCCATGAGTTATACTAAATTAAAATTGCAGATTTTGCCTCTAATGTTTTATTAGTAAAGAGACGAAAAGTGCAACGCTAATAATAACTTAGGAACTAAAAATGAGTATGACCAACACTTAGGGACGAATTCTACAATTATCCTATAATTTATGGACTAAAAATGCAATTTTCTCTTAACTAATTTTTAATTTTTTTAAAACAACTAAATTTTTAATTGAAAGATATTTTCTGAATTTTTTATTTTTCTATTTCCCTCTTCCCTTAACCTGTGAATTGCCTCTAATACCACTTGTTAGATCAAGTACAAACATAGTATTAGACTTAGTCATTCATCGATCTCCACCCAACATTTTTAAAGAATCACCACACTAAGTTCAATTACCTTTGCTAATAGCGGAATTCGAAAGCATAGTCGGTGGTAGTGGTGGCGGTGGCGGTGCTGCCACGGCGGAGAGATTGTAGAAAGGGTAGCGGTCATACCTAACGTTACAGCTTGGGAAAACCGCTATAGCACCTACGGCTCCAAAACAGCAACGAGGCAGCATATCAATAACATTCCTGAAACATATCTGACAATCAACGTTAGAAAGGTCAGGGGTACACTGTCCAAGACCATACACCCTAAAACTATCCGACAACACCGCAAATTTCTTGTCGGAACCACTGGCTGCTCGAGCGATTATCTGATCCAACATGTTTCCGACCAACTGCATGTACCCATTTGGTCGAGTATCATTATCCTTGCTTTTCACGGTAAACCAAGTCGACACATCTATTATCCCCAACATGGAGTTCTCCGAGTATCGCAAAATGCAATAATCGTACCAAATAATAGCCGTCTTGGCATCGCTGCAATTCTCCAATATGGTTTTACGGGCGTCTCCTACGCAGCGGCCGCAGTCTTCCTTGGAGACGTCGCCCCGGCACAAGAACAAGCCGTGCACGGTGGCGTTGGAAGCGCCGGCGGCGACTGTGGTGTGGTAGAAACCATTATTGTCGTCTCGGGTGGCATTGGAATAAAGATTAGAGAGAAGGGAATCAAGGTTGGCTCTATAGGTGCTGTTAGGAGTGTAAGTAGTTGTGTTTACGCAGTGATATCGCATACCAAAATTATCAGATCTACCTTTAGTGACGAGGTTCATCAACAACCAAAACAAAATCATTATCATCATATTCTGAGGTATATAATTATAATCACTATTAAAATAAACTATATATCCGATCCCTTGAAGAAGATGCATAGTCGGTTTTTTTTTTTTTTTTTCTTTTAAATTTATTGTCGTAGAAAGTAGAAACAGCGTGAAGGGAGGAGCTGAGAGGACTTGAGGTCAGTCAACTTTTAAATGCTTTCTTGTACCTTATTGAATAAGTATAGCCTACTCAATTATAGTGGAGGACTATTTATTGTTATTCCATAAAATCACGACTCTACGGACCACGATTCAAAACATTTTATATAATTAACATGGATTCTAGTTCACATTGTAAGGTTAGTTAACCAAATTATTATGTTCGTATAACTTTACTTGTAGGTTTGCCCCCGGCTAGTACACCTTAGTCTAGAGAACGTCTGAGGTTGTGGCTAGACAACAACAATATTGCTATATTATAATTATAATTTTAAGTTAGAATACTTAATGTAAGTAAATTAATATATTAGCTTGGCAATATATTTGTTTAATGTAATTAAGGTTTTAGTTGGTTAAAAGTCTTTAAATTATTTCAAACTCACTTTTAGTTTTGAATTCAAGTTATTGCAAATTTGGAAGCCAAAAAGACAAAATCATCAATATCAAGGACGTCGGTAACCTCTACTATTTTATCAATCTTCTGTTGTTGACATTTCTTCTTTGTCTGAATCTGAACTTGCTATTCCTCATATGTCTTATATATTTGTTTCTATGTGTTCTTATGTGGTCGGTCATGACCGTGTCTGATGTTGTTCGTGTGCCCTATGTGCTAATTAATTGATGAATATTATCTTGAATTGATTAGTTGGATGATGAAACAATCTCAAATTGATTGGATTGATTGGGTGCATATTGGATGATGGATATTCTTAATGGTGAAGATGTTTTTGGCATAATTAATTAATTACTAAAATTGTATTTGTTGCTTTGCATGTCACACAACATATCTTAAGGCATTTTTTTAAATAAAAACATTATGTTGATTAATTTTACTTGTTTGTCTTAAAGAATGTTTTTGACAAATAATTGTCAAAGGGCCCGGAGAGATGGTAAGTAAATTAATATATTAGCTTGGCAATATATTTGTCTAATGTAATAAGGTTTTAGTTGGTTAATTAATTATGCCAGGGGCCGTTAAATATGGAGATGAATTTTTTGCTTTTAATTGTTCAAGCAAAGATGAGATTTTGTAGGGTGAATATATGGATGGGTCTTTCTCCATGATTCAAGGGAAGTGTATGCAAGATTATGTGAAGAGAATTCAAGTATAAATAGAAGACTAATCTTCAGAAATTTTTGAAGCTGAAAAGAAGAAAAAAAGAAAAATCACGCCAACCTCCCTGAAGTTTTTATATAATTGCCTTGCTGTTTTAATATTGGCCCTGCTGTTTTAATGTTAAAAGTCTGTTAAATTATTTCAGACTCATTTATTATAGATGGCTGTTTAGGTTAAAGTTGTATTGTAGTTTGGTGTTATTCAAGAAGTGTAACTGTGTAAGTCTTATAGACAGGTCCAAGAAAGGTGACGAAGTATACCAACTCAGAAGATGATGATGATTGTTGGTATTGAAGATTAGGCCATAGCTTTTGTATGGAAGTCTAGTGGAGTTGGATTTCACCTGTGTGTGGCCCCGCAGATGTAAGAGTGATTTTTCGAACTGCGTGAACATATTCTGGTTCAATTTACTTTTCTTGAATTGCTTTATTATTTATTATGTTCCTAATACAGTACTAGATACAGATGGCTAATTCGTTCTAAAAAACAAGTAGGAACCAGTTAGGTTTTCTCCTGCATTCAAGATTCACATGCAATTTTCAGTTAATACTATATGGATCCTCCGAATATAGTGATTTTTCACGTTTAATTTGGTCAATAATTTTCAAATTGATCACCCGTGATCCTTCCAGTTTCAAATTATTACCATTCGTGATCCAAGTTAACCACTCATGGTCCTTCAACTATCAAATTTTAACCACTCATGGTCCTTCCAAGAGAATCACAGCTGGTTAAAATTTGAAAGTTGAAAGTTTAAGGGCTAAATATGACAAAACAATTATACTCAAAGAATCGCATATGGCATTAACTCTTTTAAGTCACTACAACAAACTGACTATTTAGCGACATATATTTAGTGGCGGTTATACATAACCGCCTCTAAATGACTATTTTGAGGCGGTTTAGAAACCGCCGCTAATTTAATATAAGAAACCTAAATAACTAATTGGTAGCAAAAATAGAAATCTAAATAATTAATTGTTAGTGTCATTTACTTGCGGCGGTTCATCATAACCGCCGCTAAAATATTTTTAAAAAAAGTAATTTCTAATTTCTAATATAGATATATATTATTTAGGAGGATATTGGGTTTTCAACGTTGAGTGAAGAGCAGCTGCGAGGAAGAAGAACAACAAACGAACACTAATTTAGCAGAAGCAAAGGGAGGAAAAATTCCAGTCCACTCGCCAGAGACCCTCCGTCTGCTCCGACCTGTCGGCATCTCCTTTGTTTAATTTGCTCCACGGCGTCATTGTAAGGTTTGTGACTCCTGTGAATTTCTCACTGATTTTGTTCTCAAACAGTGTGTGTGAGAATTTATGAATTTATTTTTATCTTTTGAGGATTATTTTAAATTTCTTTTTGAATGTTTTTTGCAATTTGATTGATTCTCTCTATTGGAACTTGAATTCTTATGCTAATTTAGGATTGTTAACAGATTAGTTTTTTTGTAGCAATTGCATTCAAGGTGTTTGTCATATTGTCTACAGGGTGTTGTTCCTCACATTTTCCAAGAGCTTTGAAAGTACTTGATAAAGAAAATTTTCATTTGTATTTGTTGCAGGAACTGCAATTTTAATTTAGAGTTGGCATTTGGCATGAATTGTACAATTCTACAAAAACAGCTTAAGCCAATCATATTGGCATGTATTTTTATATATTTTTTGTAGGAATTGTAGTAAATCAAATTTCTATGAATTCCTATCCTTTTGCGTGAAATTTCAGTGAGCTGCCGATTTGTTTTTGAATTTTGAGTGTCAATCTCGCTAATTTGGTTGGAATTGTGTTTTTTCTTCTATATAATCTGTATGCTTAAATTAAATTATTCTCCTATGAATTGGTGCTGTGTGGTTTGAAAGTCATAGTCATACTGACTGATGATACCATTTCAGAGAAGTCAGGAGAAAAGCATAAAAGTAAAAGCCACAAGCATAAGGATTCCTCGGTGAGTTCTCTTTCTATTCCTATCTTTACAAAAGTTCAGCATTAAACATGTTTTCAGTTGAAATTAGCCGAAAATAAACTCCCTACTTGCCTTGCATTTTCTGTTTATCATACTAATTTGGTAGACCATAAACATATGAGCCATTCTATTGGATAAAAATGTTAGACCCATCCCCTGCTTTCAGTTTGATTGAAAATGAAATTTTGATAGGGTAATACTAGAGACTACTCTCTACTCGGTTAGAGTCATATTTAATTTAATTTGTAGAGTTTGATTCTTACTTAAAATGACCTGACTCTGAACTATTTAATATGTTGTTCGAATACAAAAGTCATTTTCTAACATTACAGTTACTTTAATATTTTGCTTATCAAGTGTTATACATGGGGTGTAAAAATAATAATAATAATTTGCTTTGTTTCTTGGTGATTGTTTTCTTAGATTGCTTTAGAAGGAAACTTCTTATATCAAGAATTATGTCTATTCTGTTTTACACATAGCTAACGCGTTGATTTTTGTGGTACGTGTGCTTTTGCAGTTAATACTCTTTGCATCTTATTCTAGCAAGGATTAAAAAACGCCTCGAGTGCAGGTATCATTGTGATTTAAACAAGACTTATAGTTGTTAATCTTACTGTTGAATTATTCCTTCTTTGGGGTTATTAATGTTTTTTACTGCCTATAGACTTGGAATACAAAAGCTATCCAAGATTGCATCTTTATTGCCACTTCTCAAGTTATCTTCTTATCTCTTTCATTTTTAGTTATCTGTGTTTGTTCTACAGACTAAGGTTATATGGTAAGATTATCTGTTCTTTTATTACTGTTGAATTCTGTCTTAACAAGGATATATGCTAAGGTGAACTAATTCCTCAAATTCTCAATTCTAGTGTGTCTAAGTTTTAAATGAGGTTTGGAACTTTTTTTTTGGTTCTTTTTATGTTTTGGCCCCTTTGTGTATTTTATAATTTGTGTATTCATGCAGGTGGCACGTAATGTGTTTGAAGCAGGGTTGAAAAACTTTATGCATGAACCTGAATACATTCTTGAGTGAGTTTCCTTCCCTTTTTGGCATCAAAATTCTATATATATATATATATAAGCATGAATCTGTTGCCTTGTTCAAGTTAGTAGTCCATTTTTCAGCAATTGTTCCTTTTAATTATTTGTGATTCTTTGAAGTAAATTCTCTCTGCATGTTCTTTATTTAGTGGCAGTTATACTAACCGCAGCTATTTTAACAACAAAACTTAAATCATAAGATAAAATGCAAGTAACCATTTTATCGGCTGTTTTCATTAACCATCTTAAATCATAAGTTAATTTATTTTTTGGGTTATTTCCATCTTTTCACCCACATCTCAATGTTGGAACAACACAACACAACATATAAAGCAATTCACATTAGAAAGCAGGATGCATTCCTAAAATTAATCTCTCGATATATCCTCCGCTTTCTCTCTCTATATGCATATATGTGGTCTCATCATTCTATACATATGACAATTCATCTTTCTTTCTCTTTGTAGATCTTGTATGCTAAACTACTAAAGTTTGAAAAATCTTCATATAGAGATTATGCATGGATAAATCTTGGGTTAATTTGCAGCGAAATACTTTGGAATATATAGAAGGGGTAAACAAATTAATTGATTTTGCTATTGAGCATAGATGTATTGAAGGAAGAATATTGTGTCCTTGTGTAAAGTGTAAATTTAGGTATTGGTTATATAAATTTGACGTGAAAGAACATTTAATTTGTGATGGGATTGTACCTGGATATGTTAATTGGATTTGGCATGGTGAAGGGGGATCTTTAGACACTTTTAGTAGCACTCCTAATGTTGTGCCTACTAATGTGCAAATTGAGAATCCTGAAGTAAATATCATTCATGATGCTTTTGCACATATTTCACATGGTATAAATGAACCTTCAACATCACAACAAACACTACTTGGGGATGGAGTATTACCTAGAGAGGATAGTGAAGACAGTAAAATATTTTATGAGTTGCTCAAAGATGGAAATCAAGAGTTGTATGAAGGGTGTAGCAAGTACTCAAAATTATCATTTTTGTTGAAGTTGTACCACATCAAGTGCTTGGGTGGAATAAGCAATAAAGCAATGTCTATGATTTTTGAATTGTTAAAAGATGCTTTTGAACAAGCAAGGCTTCCTGATTCTTTCTATGAGGCAAAAAAAACCATCAATAGACTTAGTCTTAATTATGTTAGCATTCATGCATGTCCAAATGATTGCATGCTATACTGGGGAGATGATAAAGATGCAGAAACATGCAAAGTATGTCATACTTCAAGATGGAAACAACCAAACGGGAAGAATGGTGGTGATGTGCGTTGTGGTAGCAAGTTTAAAAAGAAACCTTCTAAAGTGTTGCGTTACTTCCCTCTTAAGCCTAGGTTGCAACGGTTGTTTATGTCTTCTAAAACTGCTGAGAATATGAGATGGCATGCTATGGATAGTAACAGAGATGGGTTGATGCGACATCCTAGAGACTCTGAATCATGGAAGCGATTTAATGAAGTCCATGTAGAATTTGCTGCTGACCCACGAAATGTTAGACTTGGGTTAGCTGCGGATGGTTTCAATCCATTTGGACATCAAAGTTCTACTCATAGCACTTGGCCTGTGATTTTAATTCCTTATAATTTGCCTCCATGGATATGTATGAAACAAACCTCATTTATTTTGTCTATGATTATTCCTGGGAAAAAGATGCCAGGGAATGATATAGATATTTACATGCAACCATTGATTAAAGAGTTAAATGAGTTGTGGAGTTTTGGAATAGAAACATTTGATGCTTCACAGGGTCAGTTTTTTAAACTACATGCAACTCTAATGTGGACCATTAGTGATTTTCCTGGGCTAGGTAACTTATCTGGGTGGAATACACATACAGGGCTAGCATGCCCCTCATGCAACTTTGATTTTTTGCCAAATCGCCTTCCACATAGTAGGAAGTGGTGTTTTATGGGTCATCGTCGGTTCTTAGGGTCTTCTCATCGGTATAGACATCACAACTCTAAATTTGATGGAACCAAAGATTTGAGAAGTCCGCCAAAGATGTTGTCAGGTTCAGATGTTTTGAATCAGCTTGCAGATATCAATATTACATTTGGGAAAAACCTAGAAATGACTGAGAAGGGGAAAAGATCACGAGTGAGAAGAGTTGAAGATGGTGATACGCAACAATGGAAGAAGAGAAGTATATTTTTCCAACTCCCTTATTGGGAATTCAATTTGTTGCGCCACAACCTTGATGTCATGCATATTGAAAAAAATGTTTTTGACAATGTGTTGTTTACTTTGCTAAATGACTCTGCAAGATCAAAAGATAATCTAAATGCTCGAATGGATTTAGTGTCAATGGGTATAAGAGATGACCTTTGGCCTAATGAAAATGGAAAATACTCTCCAAGTTGTTTTACAATGACAAATATAGAAAAAGATGTATTTCTTGCAACACTAAAGAGTGTATTACTGCCAGATGGTTACTCAAGTAATATTTCAAGATGTGTTGATTTGAAGAATCGCAAGATACATGGATTGAAAAGTCATGATTGTCACATTCTTATGGAACATCTATTGCCAATTGCCATACGTAATCTATTACCAGATCAAGTTTGTATGGTTTTGGTAGAATTGGGTTCTTTTTTCAGACAAATATGTAGTAGAGTATTAAATGTCAAAGAGCTTGATAACCTTCAAAGTCGACTTGTGCTAACATTATGCCATATGGAAATGATATTTCCACCATCACTTTTCACAGTAATGGTGCATTTAGTTGTTCACCTTGTTGATGAGGTTAAGCTTGGAGGTCCTGTTCCATACCGATGGATGTACAGCATTGAGAGGTGACTAAATTTTGGATATTTAAAGTTTTCTTTATTAGATTATCGATAAATGCATCTACTAATGTCTTATTTCTATATATTTAGGCACTTAGGACATTTAAAGTCTTTTGTACGCAACCGAGCAAACCCAGAAGGTTCAATAGCTGAAGGTTATATTGCTGAAGAATGTCTTACATTTTGCTCAAGGTATTTAGAAGGGGTTGAAACAAGGTTTAACCGATCTAGGCGTGTTGATGATGTGCCATTTTATGCTGAAAATATTCAAAGCAATATCTTCAAACAAATTGGTCGACCAGTAGGCAGTGTTTTAACTTTCCAACTAACTGATATAGAGAAACAACAAGCACATCGATATGTGCTAATGAATTGCAAACATGTTGACAAATACGTTGAGTAAGTAACATCCAAACTTTTGTATTTTGGTGAGAAATAACATATTATTTCAATTGTTACAAATGTGTTGTTATCACATACAGGGAATTTACAGTTTTAACGAAGAGACGACTAAGAAGGCGGACGAGATCTTCTGCGGAGATTCAAAAAATAGTTAATAGAGATTTTTCCAATTGGTTTGCAAAGAGAGTAAGAATTTCACCTCAAATCAATATTTTACTTCAAAATTAATTTACTAATACAATATCATTATGTTTTAGATCCTAAATAATGACAATCAAGAGCAAGTGCCAGATGACATTATGTTTTTAGCAAGAGGTCCACTTACTCATGCTAGAAGATTTTCTTCGTATAACATTAATGGTTTAAGATTTCGAACAGTGAACCGAGAAGAAGGACTGAAGTCTCAAAATAGTGGAGTATTTGTTATTGCTGGAACTCCAAGTGTTGCAAGTAGTCGTGATACTCATGGGGTTTTTGGAGATGTTGCTTATTATGGAAAATTGGTTGACATCATTGAACTGAATTACTACAGCAAATTTGTGGTTACACTATTTAAGTGTATATGGGCTGATACGACTACTCCAAGAGGGACAAGAATAGATCATTATGGCTTCACCGAAGTTAACTTCTCTAGAACAATACATGTTGGAGATAGTATAGATGATGAACCATATGTGTTAGCTGAACAAGCTCAGATGGTGTTTTATGTCACTAATGAGTTGGAGAAAGATTGGAATGTTGCAATACCTTTCAAACCAAGAGACTTTTTTGACATGGGTGAAAATGCAGACAGTAGCGTATATGATTGTACTTCAATCTCACGTGAAAACCAAAATCCTGTGGTTTTAAATGAGATTGAAAATTTGCAGTTAACAAGAGAAGAACTAAATGATGAAATAACCACTGTTGTTGATAGCGGAATTGAAAGAGCAGATAATGATTAAATTGTACAGGTCAACATGCTTACTCTCCTAGAGCTTTACTATTTTTCTTCTTATTTTTTGTTCATTTCTGTTTTATTCTTTGAGATCACTAACCCTTCAACTGAACTCAAACGGAAATTTGTTTTTTATTTGATGTGTAGGTATGCTAGAGTAGAAGAACTCACTCGATTATGCAAATAATCTGCTTTCTGGAAATAGAAAGTCTAAGGATGTTATGGCATTACAAATCTCTCGCGCAATGACATATTTACATGAAAATGGCATCATTCATCGCGACTTGAAGCCCAGTAAGTAATTTTCTGCGGGCCTAACTTTTGCTGCTAGCTATTTTGCTTATTAGTCATCAAGCTAATTAATCTTATTGGATTGCAGATAATATTTTTCTATCAGAAAGCAAGAAGAGTGTGAAGCTTGGGGACTTTGGGAGCCCAAGGAGGGTCTGGAAGGTGATTTTTCTGCTGATGTTGGAAGCTTTCCCTGGATGGCTCCTGAGGTAGTATTGCAACTTTAATTTATTAACCAACCATCCATATTAAGATGTATGTATGTGTCTGCTTGCATCATCATCATATATATATATATATATATATATATATATATATATATATATATATATATATATATATATGTCTTCCAACTGTTTCTGAGTAATTTTCCCTTCTCAAGTTTGTTTATTCCGTGATTGATGATAAATAGTGTCATGTATTGGAAGTACATGCATTTATAAATAAGTTGAGAGGTTTGCTTTGTTAGAGGTGTAGCTTTAAGCATTTGGAGGTCTGTAGGCCAGTTGATACACTTCTTGCGATTTACTTCCTTTTTGCTAAGATAGCATACCTAGGAAATTGATTCAATCTTGCTGTTTAAAAAAAAAAAAAAAAATCTTGCTGTTAAGTTTTCACCATTGTTATATCATTGGTTTTGTGTTTGGGTAGTGTAGGATCAAGGTGTAATAAGAATTTCAAACCCATTGATAAATGAAGATAATGTAATGTATTCTGCAGATTTTAGCAAAGAAAGGAGTTGTGATTCTACCAGACATCTATGCAAACTCAGGTGGATTTACTGTCAGCTATTTTGAGTGGGTTCAGGTGATTACCTCTGTTGCTTTCACCAGCAAACTTCTTACACAACTTACTAATGGATTAAAGATCCTAAATTATTGAATATGTTTAATCTTCCTTGTAGAACATACATTCAAGGGTTTATGTGGGATGAGGAGAAAGTGAATGCAGAACTTCATAAATATGACCAGGGGTTTATGTGGGATGAGGAGAAAGTGAATGCAGAACTTCATAAATATGACCAGAGGTTTTAAAGATGTCAAGGACTGAGATTGTAGATTATGTTGGTCTATCCACCAAAGGCTGCCTGTATCTACATTTGAAGAATAATGTTTTGAACTGTCAGGGAATGAAAATGCATTACAGTTAAAGACCATGGAAGAAATATCTAAGCTGAGAAGCTACTTCTTTTAATACTATTGAATATTATTATTTGATAAATATTAGTTACAATTGATTTTTTTCAATTAAATGGGTACATAGATTTTATTTGTGATTGCAATACGCATTTGAATATAAAGATTTTGAAGAAATATAATTAAATGATAGTTATAAAAATATAATAATGTAATTATAAAACATTTAGCGAGACTTAATTATGAAAACAAAAAATTATTTAGTGACACTTAATAACCGCCTCTAATATTTTAAAAAATAAATCAAGACAAATATTTAGCAACACTTACTAACCGCCACTAAAATTTATTCAAATAAATATATATATTTAGTGGCGGTTACACAACCGCCGCTAAATTTATTCAAATAAATATATATATTTAGCGGCGGTTTTGTAACCGTCGCTAAATTTATTCGAATAAATATATATATATATATATATATATATATATATATATATATATATATATATATATATATTTATTTATTTATTTATTTATTTAGCGGCGGTTACAAGACCGCCGCTAAATGCACCCAAAACCGTCGCTAAATGAGTTTTTCATTAATTCCCGCGGTTGTTGAAAACCGCCGCTAAATGCTTCGCGACACACTATTTAGACACGATTGAATAACCGCCGCTAAACACACTAGTGGCGGTTTGGAACCGCCGCTAAACGCAAAAAAAAAAACCGCCGCTAAATGCCTGATTTGGTGTAGTGAGTTAATGCTAGGAATAGAATTAAGACTTGATAGAACTAAATTGTTCTACTTATCTGGAGTGTATACGAATTGATTCTTGTATTCATGTGTATGAACAGCTAAAGAGAAGAGAGGAAAACTCCCAAAAGTACTCTCCAAGCCCTTTTTTATTAAGCATTAGACAGTGTAGAAAGAAAGAGAGTGTCGTGGAAAGGGAGAGAAGACCCCTACAATAAAGGCCTAAGAGCAACCCCGGCCAATAGGGGGGTTGTGCACGGTATTTTAGGAAAAAAAAAAGACAAGGTGGATGAGAGAGAAATACGAGAGAGAAGGATTAGTGTTCTGTTATTTAGTGAATTTTGTCAGTGGTGGGGTCCATTATATTAAATAAAGAATTGTAGCCAAGGCTGCGTGAAGGCCAAGTAGCGCCCAGTCTGGCGTGTGCAGTGCACGTGCCAGTTGGGCGCGTTAATTAAAGCTTTGACTATTTTCTTTTTTAAATTTAGCTTTTTTTTTTCCTTTTTTATTTCCATCTCATTTTCTCTTTCCTAATCACACTTACAAAAACTCCTCAAAAACCACATCAAAATCCTAACTATTGAGGATGCCCTAATGCCTTTTATATAGGCCCAAGAGTTTACCTGCTCACTTTGACCATGACCCGAATCATATGACCCCGACTCGACTACAAAACGAGGGCACGGTCGTATAGGGAAGTCAAAATCGGAGTATATTCCCTATCATGACTTAAACACAAATTTAGCAATAATAAATTATTTATGTTTTAAGTCTTAATTCTGTAGCTAGCATTTATTTAAAATTATAATTATAATATTTGTAAATGATGTTTATTCCTTTTCACATTTAATTTATTTTGATTCTCACATATAAACAATAATTTGTTAGAAAAAGAAAGTGATTTTAAATATCTATTTTGCCCTTTTTTAACAATTCAAAAGTTCATTTAACATAGAAATATAAAAAATATCACTTTTAAAATAATTGAGAGGATAATAAGAAAAAATATCATTTTCCCTTTATTATGAACGGGCATACCAATTCTTTTTGTCAACTGAAAGACAACACGTACTCAAATAAACGATCAATTTATTATACGTACCATAGACAATGATCTACATCGTAAGGTAGACTAGTGACATAAGGTACATATATTTTTTTAAATATATACTAAAAATACATTTTTAATTAATACACTAAAAGTTTATTTTTTAAAGATACATTATATGTGTAGTGAAATTTCATTATTTGATAATGCACAAATAATGAACCTTCAATTTACAAATAATGAACCTTCAATATATTAAAACGAACATTTATTCATGATATACGTTACAATGTACGTAGAACCCTAGGTCCAATAATAGGAAAACTTCCACTGTTAAGTTCCGGAACTATCTTGGATAGAGGTCTGATATGGAAACTTCGTTCACCGACGACAATGGCGGTGACTTGTTGGTTGACTGGTCCGCTTCCTGTCCTGCCGAAATCGTCATCTCATCGGAAAATGTAGCAGGCGGATTAGGTGCCCTCCTTGTAGCAGAATGACTATGTAGCATCAACACAACATTCGCCATTGTTGGCCTTTCATCCACATTTTCTTGAACACACAACAAACCAACATGGATACATTGGATCACTTCATTCCTTGAATATAAACCTCCAAGACTTCGATCCACCATGTCTACTGTTGTGTCCTCCCTCCAATGTTTCCAAGCCTACATAGTAACATTCAAATAAATTCAACTAAGATTTCAGTTTTTGTTATGGAGTTTCTAATATACTTACATAGCTAATAAGATCTTGAGCTCCAGTTGATGATGATTCCGTGGAGCAGGAGAAAGAACTATTTTTCTTTCCAGTTATAATCTCCAAGAGTAAAACTCCGAAACTGTAAACGTCTGACTTCACAGAATACAAGCCATGCACAACGTATTCGGGAGACATGTACCCACTGCAAAACCAAAGCATAAATAAAGAATCAGATATAATAAAAACTACACTATATACTCTTCTAACTTTCTTCACCAAGCTAGAGTTAATGATTAATGGTGCTTCAATTCCTAATTAAGATGATGAATTGAATCAACTGGAATAACAGAACCTAAGTTCATGCTAGTCATCACTACATATATAAAACTTACTATGTTCCGATAACTCTACTTGTATTTCCTTGAGTCTGATCAACCATAAAAATCCTTGCCAAGCCAAAGTCGGATATTTTTGAGTTCATATCTTTGTCTAAAAGTACGTTGCTTGGTTTCAAATCACGATGTATGATTTTGAGACGCGATTCTTCATGAAGATAAAGGAGCCCACGGGCTATTCCCTCTATGATCTTGTAACGAGTGGACCAATTCAATAGTTGCTTCTTCTCTAAATCTGCATATATAATAATAATTAATAGAATTTAATTAGCTAGCCCTTGAGTCAAAAACTAACCATGATTGAAAAGAAAAGCTATTTTAATTTCCAATCTAAAACTAACCAAATAAAAAGTAGTCAAGACTTTTATTTGGAATAAATTCATAGATAAGTATCTTTTCCTCTCTGTGCAAGCAAAACCCCAACAGCCTAACTAAATTTCTATGTTGAAGTTTGGCAACCAAAGCAACTTCATTCTTGAATTCTACAGCTCCCTGTCTTGAACCCTTAGATAGCCTCTTAACCGCTACCTCTTGCCCGTTGGGAAGCCTTCCCTGAACACCGCCAATATATGTATAATCAATCAACAAGTAAAATTCAAAGTCCCGCTAAAACAGGCATTCAATAATATAATGCACATCAAAAGACTAGACTTTGCCTTGTAAACAGCACCGTATCCACCTTCACCAATCTTATTATCAGGAGAGAAGCAATTTGTGATAGCTTCAATAGTACTAAATTCATATTGCACCGACTCCTCTGTTGGAATTTCACTCATGCCTACAATATAATATAAAAGGCAAAAATTGTGTTACTTACAAAGAACAGATTGAGGAAAATTGATAACTAATCACAAGCAATCTGGTACCAGAAGTTGTCTCCTTCACATCAGAGTGGGACTTCTTTGCTCTTTTCATTTTCAAGAAATAGAAGCATAAAACGAAGAGTAATATCCCAATGATTGACACTACAGAGGCTGCAATCACTTTTGCAGAAGATTTTCCTTTACTCCCTGCATATTGAAATGGACATTACTCATAATTTGATTTTACCTTGAAAGCTGAATTTGTGCAAATTTCCAAAAAATAATATGTTTATTTTCAGGAAAATAAACCAAACTCATAAAATGCAACTTTAACTTCCAAAATGAAAAGATAGTTCTGTCATTCAGCCATACACAAAAACGTTAAAATATTTTCCAAAAACTTAGTTATTTTTTAAAAACCATTTCCCGAAAAACATTTTTTATAAGAGAAAATACCAATTTTGGTCCCACGAGTATTAGCAAAATGACGGTTTTGATCCACATGTTTAATTTTTACCAATTTTCATCCACGACTATTGTTTTAGTACTAATTTTAATCCACGACTATTATTTTAGTACCAAAATTCATCACGTTGGTCACCCATCTATTTAAGACAACCCAAAATCTAAAAATTTTAAGGGCATTTTAATCCTTTTCAACTTAAGATTTCAATTTGAACATAAATAAATGAATTTATAACCTAAGATCGATCTCAATTCGCAGTTCTCATCCTCATCATACCTTAATTTGAGGAGGAAAACTGCGAATTGTGATAAATCTTAAGGCTTAAATTCCTTTATTCATGCTCAAATATGGATCCTAATTTGAAAAGCATGAAACTACCTTTAATAATTTCATATTTTGGCATGTCTTAAACGAAGGGGTGACCGGCGTGATGAATTTTGGCACTAAAACAATAGTTCTGGATGAAAATTGGTACTAAAACATGGATGAAAAATTGTAGGAATAAAACATGTGGACCAAAACTGTGATTTTGCTAATACTCGTGAGACCAAAATTGATATTTGCTGTTTTTCATAATTCCAAACGGACTTTAATAGTTTCTTAATTAAAGAATCACCGGAACAAGTTTACCTTTGCCGCTAGCGGGCTTGGGAAGCACTATAGTTGCCGGAGGAGGAGGTATAGGAGGCGGCGGTGCCGGCGCTGCCACGGCGGAGAGATTGTAGAAAGGGTAGAGCTCATACCTAACGTTACAGCTTGGGAAAAGAGCCCTAGCACCTACGGCTCCAAAACAGCAACGAGGCATCAATGCAACAACGTTTTTGAGGCATTTCCGACAATCAACCTCAGACAGGTCCGGCGTACACTGTCCAAGAGCGTACACCTTCTCTAAGGCGCTAAAACTAGTTTGCAACACCGCAAATTTCTTGCCGCCGCCGCCAGAACCATTGGACGCCGCCGCTTGAGTGGCTATCTCATCAAACATGTTTCCGGCCACCAACTTCATGAACGCATTTGGATTAGTATCGTTATCCCCGTTCTTCATCGTGTACGAGGTGGATTGGTCCATTATCCCCACCACGGAGTTCTCCGAGTATCGCAACATGCAGTTATCGAACCAAATCATAGCCGTCTTTTCGTAGTCGCAAAACTCCAACACCATTTCACGAGCTTCTCCCACGCACTTGCGGCAATCGTCCTTGGACACGTCGCCCCGGCACAAGAACAAGCCGTGAACGGTGTCGTTTGAGCGGCCGCCGCCGACTGTGGCGTGGTAGAAGCCATTGTCTGGGGTGGTGGCGCTGGAAGAAAGATTAGAGAGAAGAGAATCAAGGTTGGCTTTATAGGTGCTGTTAGGAGAGTAAGAAGTTGTATTTCGGCAGTAAAAATGCACAATAACGTCAGAGCTATGAGCTTTGTTGATGAAGACGCTCATCAACAAGCAAAACCAAATCATCATCATCATATTAATTGTGAGCTGAGCCTGAGGGATATTACACAGTTAGTTCAAGAACGTATATATATAATAAAATTTATATATCCATTGAAGAAGATGTATTTATGGCAGGTAGGTAGGTTGTTATATTTAATGTCGTAGGAGCAACGTGAAGGAAGGAGTAGAGTGGACTTGCGGTTGGTCAAGTTTTAATGACTCAAATTGGAAGATATATGATTTTGTTCTTATTTCCATAAATAGTTAGTGGTTAGTTTGAACTAGAATGAAATAAAATTATAGCTAAATTACTGAAACTTGTATGTATTTAATCAATTGACGTGGACATGCAACATGAGTAGATCCTCCCTCTCTTCTCAATCTTCACCCCTATGACCAGTTAAATTGCACATGCAGGCATAAGTAGATCGTCTGATAACATTGTTGGGTCCTTTTGATTTAGGAAAAGTTCGCAGCGGCTTATCTTTGATGCGTTTTAAGTGAAGCGTATCTTGTGACTTTTTTTTTTTTTTTTTTGAAAGACATCTTGTGACTTTAATCGACAAAGAACCATTAAGATAAATTAACTAATATAGATTATCTCTAGTGCGTTCTAAGTGAAGCGCGTCTTGTGACTTTAATTGACAAAGAATATTAAGATAAATTAACTTATATTATCTATAGTTGATCGGCTCAAATTAGATAACTTTGCTGAGGAGTAGTAGGTCAGAATTAAAATTTTGTAATTAGTTTATTCTCAAAATGGTCCTCCGACTATAGTCTTTTCTCAAATTGATCCCTTGACTTTAAATTTCTCCAAAGTGGTCACCGACTTTTGAAGTTTAAGCCAAAATGGTCCTCTGTTAGCTTTGACGTTAAGTTGGTGTTAAAATGAAGGGTACAACTGGAAATTTAAGTTTTGTACTCCAATTTAAAGCAATATGTGATTCCTTTCAGGCACACGCACATATTTCTTCAAATTAGGTTTTTGCTTCTTATATCTGAGATAAAAATGTGAGATAATCAACTAGAAGGCCAAAAAATTAAAGTTCATCTTCAACATCATCCACAAACTTCCCAAGGCAAAGATTTCTAGCCTTCTAGTTGATAGCCCGTATTTTGATTGCAGATTTAGGAGGGCAAAAACCTAATTTGAAGAAATATGTGTGCATATTGATTTAAATTGGAGTGTAAAATCTAAATTTCCAAATTTACCCTTCATCTTAACGCCAAAGCTAACGGAAGACCATTTTGGCTTAAAATTCAAAAGTCGGAGGACCACTTTGGAAAAATTAAAAGTCAAGGAACCAATTTGACAAAAAGACTATAGTTAGAGGATCAGACCATTTTAAAAATTAACTCTTTTGTAATTATCAAATTAACTATCTGATCAACTTGAACTCTTGGACCCAAAACGTGGCAGACGGAGAATGAAAATGATGTGTGTACTATAGCATGTAAAGTCCTTCAGCTTCCGCGAAACTGCGGCTGCCCCATTCATACGAAGAAGACTCTTGACGTTATGTTTGGTTCACTTTATTAATGCACCAATTGGTAAACAATATTTAATGAACATTGAACATCTAATATATTTATAAAATCAATATCTTAAAAAGTTATACTACCTGAACTTCCAAATCTTACTCCATATGACAAATATTGATAGACTATTTTTTTCATGTGGACCCTTAACTTGTATATGTGTCTATATCAAAATTTCAAGTGTGAGAGTAAAAGTTGAGAATAAAAAATAAGAGTACATCTAGTATTATTCTAGTATTTTCCTATCTTAAATCCTTAATAAAAACTTATTAATTTTCAACCAAATATCTTTTAAAGCTATATCATAAACATGATTACATATCAAACACTCAATTTATAAATATTTAGGCTCTGTTTGGCCGAACTTATTTAGGAGCTTATAACTTATTTTAAGCTCCTAATAAGCTATAAGCTCTGTTTGGTAATGTTCCCAAAATAAGCTCCTAGCTTAAAATAAGAGTTTATTTTGGAATGCTACTTTAGGTAGCGTTTCAAAATAAGCTCCTAGCTTCCTAACTTTTTTTTTTTTTTTTTCATTTTTATCATTATTATTTTAAAGAAATGACATAATTTACTCTTCCCAAATAAAACCTTTTTCTCTTCTCCTTTATCCGCAACTTTCACCACAAATATTATTATTATTATTATTATTATTATTATTATTATTATTATTATTATGATTATGATTATGATTATGATTATGATTATGATGATTATTATTATTATTATTATTATTATTATTATTATTATTATTATTATTTTATTATTATTATTATTATTATTATTATTATTATTATTATTATTATTATTATTATTATTATTATTATTATTATTATTATTATTATTATTATTATTATTATTATTATTATTATTATTATTATTATTATTATTATTATTATTATTATTATTATTATTATTATTATTATTATTATTATTATTTTTTTTTTTTTTTTTTTTTTTTTTTTTTTTTTATTATTATTATTATTATTATTATTATTATTATTATTTTATTATTATTATTATTATTATTATTATTATTATTATTATTATTTTATTATTATTATTATTATTATTATTATTATTATTTATTATTATTATTATTATTATTATTATTATTATTATTATTATTATTATTATTATTATTATTATTATTATTATTATTATTATTATTATTATTATTATATTATTATTATTATTATTATTATTATTATTATTATTATTATTATTATTATTATTATTATTATTATTATTATTATTATTATTATTATTATTATTATTATTATTATTATTATTATTATTATTATTATTATTATTATTATTATTATTATTATTATTATTATTATTATTATTATTATTATTATTATTATTATTATTATTATTATTATTATTATTATTATTATTATTATTATTATTATTATTATTATTATTATTATTATTATTTATTATTATTATTATTATTATTATTATTATTATTATTATTATTATTATTATTATTATTATTATTATTATTATTATTATTATTATTATTATATTATTATTATTATTATTATTATTATTATTATTATTATTATTATTATTATTATTATTATTATTATTATTATTATTATTATTATTATTATTATTATTATTATTATTATTATTATTATTATTATTATTATTATTATTATTATTATTATTTATTATTATTATTATTATTATTATTATTATTATTATTATTATTATTATTATTATTATTATTATTATTATTATTATTATTATTATTATTATTATTATTATTATTATTATTATTATTATTATTATTATTATTATTATTATTATTATTATTATTATTATTATTATTATTATTATTATATTATTATTATTATTATTATTATTATTATTATTATTATTATTATTATTATTATTATTATTATTATTATTATTATTATTATTATTATTATTATTTATTATTATTATTATTATTATTATTATTATTATTATTATTATTATTATTATTATTTATTATTATTATTATTATTATTATTATTATTATTATTATTATTATTATTATTATTATTATTATTATTATTATTATTATTATTATTATTATTATTATTATTATTATTATTAGATTTGCAACAATATTGCTACTTCATTATGAGATGTTAGATCATGATTAGGTTAATAGTTTTAATTCAAAATGTTAATTTTTTTTTATAGACAAAATGTTAAATTTTAATATGTAAACAAATTAATTTAAATTTTATGAAGATGTCCTTTTTAGTCTTTTTACATTTATCAGCTTATCAAAAAGTTATTTTTACCAAACACTTTTAATCATAACAGCTAGCTTAACAGCTCTTCAGTTTTCAGCTCCGAGCTTATAGCTTTTCAGCTTTCAGCTCCTAACTTATAGCTTTTCAGCTAGGTTTGCCAAACAGAGCCTTTAACTTTAAGTTTATTTACCTGCATTTTATATATTCTGAACTACTTAAAACAAGGTTGTTAAAATTACTTGACACGCATGATGCATTTATATTTAAAAGATTATGTACCTGTAGCTAGTTAACAAATTATGTACCTATAGTTAATAGATTATGTTCCTAGTGCAAAATTGAATGTTGACAAAACAGATGAAAAAATTGTATGCATATATAATTAAACTACTCCATGTTGGGGAAAATAGCAACGTCAACGCACGATCTGGAAGCCTTTAAGAAGCATGGACACTATGAGTGTATGGTAGAAAGAAAATCTGTGCCGTGTTATAATAACACTACCTTAAAAGCGTTATTTGCCCGGTAACGGTGCAGTTAGAACCCTGGCACGCTTTCGACAGGCTACACAGACCTACTATGGATAGCTTGCACTAGCAATCACGCAGGCGAACCTCAATTATTGCTCGGACTTTAGAGGCATACGAGAGAGGAAGAAGGGAAATTGGAATATTCTTTTCCTTGCATTTAGACAGTGTTGTATTACCCCTTTATATACTACAAGTTAAAGCCGCCACTCTTTATTCTAGCCACAAATCAACGCATAACAAGGGGAGTGGAAAAAGCATGTTGCCACACTTTTGTACACAAATGACGGAAAAGCTAGTTTGAAGCCGAAATAGTTGCTGCCTCGTTTGAATGGATTTCCAACAATCCCCCACACATTCAAAGTAGAGGCTAGAAGAAGGTAATGTCTGAGCAATACAAATGAGTTGATCTTAATGTCAGTGTTTGAGAACTTGAACTGACACGTAGTGACACTGAGTAATTTTCTTCCCGGGAGTGATGTGAATCTTGAACTCACCGGTTAGATAAATTTTGAACTCGAATGCACACACCAACTCAAAAGCAGGTTCTACAAAAGTCAAACTCTTTGACTTCTTATGAACACCCTTAGTATTAAAGAATGTTACGTCTGTCTCAAATATGGACTTCTACCCTGTCAAAGTCTATCACAAAATAGACTTTTAACTCTGAAAAGTCTTACAACATTATAGATTTTTTCCGTCTTGTGAGGTCCATCTCAATACAGACTTTTAACTCTATCAGGTCTATCTCGGTATAGACCACCATTAAAGGCTTATAGAGTAGTTAAAGATATAAATCAGTTGTAAGTCTTTTCTTTCTATCATAGGCTGTTATTTGCAATGCAAACGACAGTTTGTGAATCACAATGAAGGAAGGTGTTGGACACCCCCACAATTACACGGTTATCACCATGTTTCTTAGCCACTCAGCTTCTTGGGATAACCCCATTATCTTTCATAAGAGGCGGTTAGCCCTTTTCTACTCAAGTTAGGGGTCTCTTTAGGTCTATCTCAACATAGACCATGGTAGCCCTTTTCCACTCAAGTTAGGGATCTCTTTAGGTCTATCTCAACATAGATCATCCCAATTGAGTATAAGAGGCTAAACTTCCAATGTGGGACAACATGGATAGGCAAAAGGAAGCCTTTCCTTTTAAATGCTCCCAACAATCCCCCACCATTAAAGGGACTTAGGCTGATGCTGTCATTGCCTGACAACGATCAAAACAAATTTTCATGCCAGTGTATAAAACTTGAACTGTCATATAGTGACATTAAGTACTTCTCTAAACGGGAGTGAATTTGATCTTGAACTCATCGAATAGACAAAGTTTGAACTTAACGCACTTAAATTGCTTTGGTCGCTTTAAAATATGTGAGGTCATACTCTTGACCCTGAGATATCCCCTGTTAGGTCTATTCTAGGATAGACCTTCAACTCTGTCAAGTCTACCTCAACGCAGACCACCATGACGGGCTACAGAGTATCTATGGGCACCACGAGCACTTTGTACTCATGTCATTATGCGGTGAATTCATTAGCTTTGTCTCAACAAAACCACCCTTTCTCAAAGAGTTATGAATTCATTAAGAGCTGTAGCTCAACCTCACATGTGGTGAATTCATTAAGTTTGTCTCAACAAAACCACCCTTTCTCAAAGAGTTATGAATTCATTAAGAGCTGTAGCTCAACCTCACAGGTACACACACTGTCGGAATGACCAACTAGTGTACTATTTTGTAACTCTTTTCATGGTTTCGTTTGACCATAGAAGTGGGATCCACCACGAATTTATTACCACTTGGACTTTAAGTCCTTCCAATGAGTAAACGACTAATCCTCATAATTAGCCCTCAAGTAAGTTGATTCTCTTGACCAAACTTACATGCACTTTGACGAGTACTTCGTTTACTCGTAAATAATCCCTTGAGATTTTCATGTTTAACATGACACATTCTCTTTCATCATTATTCTCAATACCACAGAGAAACTTTTGATGAAAATATATGGAGTTTATTACCCCCACAATGCAACACTTACAAATATTTTTGTCAAATGTATTTGATCTCTTACCCAGACTGATCTTTGGTGCCCAACTTTTGCTCCTTTGTAGACTGAGTTTTGCCGATTTGCTTTGTGGAGCATTATAGAAGCTTCGCACTCTGCCTGATACATGCTCAACAGTTGAATATATTTCAACAAACTTGGTTATCTCAATTGATCACAATTACCCTTTAACTAGGAATTATAGGTATTTCAATATGACTCAACCAAGAGTTTAAATAATATATATATAAATGCTCATTGTTAGTAAGCCATAGAAATAATGTTGTCTACATGCTACATCAAGTTGAACAACATAATCACAAATTTCACATCATATTCTTATAAGAAATTAATCTCATACAAAAGGAATATGTTTGAGCTCATATTTATTCGGAATATCTCTCAACAATGAGACTTCAGAGTTGCCACTAGCACAATTTTTCCTTCCCTTAAGGAATTTAAAACTCATATAAAGCATTCATAGGATGCAGATCAATATTACTATTGCAGTACTTCAACAACGTCTATTGCAAGGCTTTGATTGTATTTGCAACATATGAAAGTCATCCTCATTTTAGGTGAAGATCAAGTGGCGCTCTAACTAGCCTGCATGATCAACACCCTACTTCTTAAGTACTCCCAGGTCGAGTGGTGAAACCGAAGTTTACTTAAAAACCATCTTCCTAGACAGAGTGTTCAAGAAGGATGACTTTCCCATGTTCTCATTAAATTACAATTGAAGCCTATGATATATGCTCTTATTCTTTATATAAATAACTTTAATAAAAAGTTTGAGCAATATCTATGCACAAATTATTTCAATCAATGTCATTAGTATTCAACATACTAAAGAAATAAGTACTACTAACTAATCAAAATCTAGACAACTCAACTAGAATTTAGTACTGAGACAACCATACTTCATGCGAACCCTTAGAACTAGAGCAAATATAGTTACTCAAAATAATTATTTATTTAAAGAGACTCAATACTCATCTTGCTCTGTCAGATTGACTTTTGCTAGTTTTGCCCTTGTGATGGTAGCACTGGTGTGCTCGGTGTCCTTGCTTTCTGCACGCAAAACACCTTCCTTTAAACTTCTTGATTTTTCTACTCCTTTCGTTGTAGACGGTTCTAACACTTTGATTTTTAGTTCCATTGGCACCGTACTTTTCTGACAGTGATTCCCAAATGACTTTTGCCGAATCTTGTTTGACATAGATGTCGAACAAATCGTCATTCATTTGTGACAGCAGATATCCTCTGGCTGCCGCATTGTCATTTCTAAATTGAATCAGAGTTACACCCGGTTCTTGACCCGGAATGTAATCTATTTCAGGACTGCTTTCTCTCGATTCTTCACCCGGAGTGTAATCAGGTTCATGGTTACATTTTGTAGCACCAAACGGAGAGAACACTGTTGGAGTAGGTTCGGGTGCAACTGAATATAGCACGTAAACCAACTTTAGTTGTTCAAAAAAAAATAAGCATTCTTTGAGCCCACCTGCTGTAATTTTTCCCATCAAGCGCGGTGATTTTTGATAGATCCGGTATGACAGAAGGTGCCATAATGCTAAAGGTTGACTGTTGCACTATAACGCTTTTAACTATTGGCGAAAATAGCAACGTCAACGCACGATCTGGAAGCCTTTAAGAAGCACGGACACTATGAGTGTATGGTAGAAAGAAAATCTGTGCCGTGTTATAAAAACACTACCTTAAAAGCGTTATTTGCCCGGTAACGGTGCAGTTAGAACCCTGGCACGCTTTCGACAGGCTACACAGACCTACTACGGATAGCTTGCACTAGCAATCACGCAGGCGAACCTCACTTATTGCTCGGACTTTAGAGGCATACGAGAGAGGAAGAAGGGAAATTGGAATATTCTTTTCCTTGCATTTAGACAGTGTTGTATTACCCCTTTATATACTACAAGTTAAAGCCACCACTCTTTATTCTAGCCACAAACCAACGCATAACAAGGGGAGTGGAAAAAGCATGTTGCCACACTTTTGTACACAAATGACGGAAAAGCTAGTTTGAAGCCGAAATAGTTGCTGCCTCGTTTGAATGGATTTCCAACACTCCATCCTAGTATGCTTGAAATCTATGGTCATATCCCTTATCTTGGATAGAGTTCAGAAATTGATACTTCATTTACGCTCATAGATTGATCCAATTTTATCTCTCTCACCATCTTTTCATTTCCACTACGATAAAATGCAGGTTGATGTGGTGCTAACCAGTTGCTCGTAGAATAACTATTGAGCATTAACATCACATCTGTCATTGTAGGTCTTTCATCTGCATCTTCTTGAACACATAACAAACCAATATGCACACATTGAACGACTTCATTTATTGCATAAGACTCTCCGAGAGCTGGATCTAGTATTTTTAGAGGCCAACTATCCCTCCATTGTTCCCAAGCCTACAACATTATCACTTTGATGTTCATAAGTTGGCCCCATGATGACAAAGAGATGAGATATAGATGGAAGTTTCAACTCACATAGCTAAGAAGGTCTTGTACTTTATTTGATTGGCAGAAACTGCGATTTTTCTTTCCAGCAATAATCTCCAGAAGTAGAACACCAAAACTGAATACATCAGACTTTACTGAAAACTCTCCGTGCATTGCATACTCAGGAGACATGTAACCACTACAAAACAATACGTTAGTGCAACAACATAGAATAATTAAGGAATATAATTAAAAATAGTGCTTCAAATAAAGACATTTGAACAAATTGCACTTTTGGTCCTGTGACTATTAGGGTGTTGATAATTTGAGTACGTGACTTTCAAAACTCTCAATTTAGTCCTTTAACTATGTTTTTTTTAGCAGATTTGGTCTTCCCAGCCAAATCACCAGCGAAATTTCGCGGGAAAAACGTGATTGGGTTCAATTTGTTTTTTTAAAGGGTAAAATGGTCATTTCACTCTCTTCTTCTTCCTTCTCCCCCTTTTCTTCGCCGGAATCACGTTGCAGATAGTATGGCTCAGGTTTCAGGCGGAAAACTTGGGAATAGAATTTGAAAGCCTTAATTAAGTCGAAAGCCATGGAAGAGAATCATCAAGAACAACTGCTGGGCCTCTACCATGGACAACTCTTTCTCCAAGCTCACATTTTTCTTCTCGGGGTTCATCAAATACACATTTATTCACTCCAACACTGGGACCGCCGCTCATCTTTTCCGCCTTCGCTGTGCACGCAGGTGCCGCGGCAGCAGCCATCATTTGCCTCTTGGCAGCAACCACCATCAGCTCTCTCTGTTTCCGGCGGTTCTTCACCTTCCTCGACTCTTCTTCCTCCCTTGGCTTGCTTTGGCTCTGGAGACTCCTTCTGCACATTCTTCCTCAACGCTACCAACAAATCCTCGTCCTCTTGAACTAAGTCGCTGGAGGTTCACGACCGACGCCGGAGTGAGCTACCTGCGAGGTTCCCGGAGTCGATTATGATTTCCCCTTTTTTTTTAAACGTCAATTGACCGGAGACTCCTACTGCACATTCATCCACAACGCCACCAGCAAATCCTTGTCCTCTTGAAATGAGTCGCTGGAGGTTCACGAGCGACGCCGGAGTGGGATGATGTACGGCATGCCGACGTCGACGACGAAGAAGAAGAACGAAGAAGAAGGGGGAGAAGGAAGAAGAAGAGAGTGAAATGACCATTTTACCCTCAAAAAAAACAAATTGACCCCAATCACGTTTTTCCGGCGAAATTTCGCCGGTGATTTGGCCGGGAGGACCAAATCTGTTAAAAAAACATAGTTAAAGGACTAAATTGAGAGTTTTGAAAGTCACGTACTCAAATTATCAACACCCTAATAGTCACAGGACCAAAAGTGCAATTTGTTCAAGACATTTTCTGCAATGAAAATACACCTTAATCCAAATGTTATTGTCAACCTATATAACTAAGAATGTAGATAAATAATTCTGCATGACTTACTATGTTCCGACAATTCTATTTGTACTTCCTTGACTTTGATCAACTCCAACAATTCTTGCCATGCCAAAATCAGCTATTTTAGGGTTCATCTTTGCGTCCAATAGTATATTACTTGCTTTGAGATCTCGATGTATGATTCTAAGACGAGAGTCTTCATGGAGGTAAAGTAATCCCCGTGCTATTCCTTTTATAATTTGATAACGCATTGACCACTCCAATAGATGTTGTTGCTCAAGATCTACATATATTAAAATATATCCCATATTACATCGGGTCTTGGGCAATAGACATCCGAGTTAAGTACAAATGAAAAAGGATTTTTTAAGTTTGGAAACAAACCAAATAAAAAGTAGTCAAGGCTTTTGTTGGGCACAAACTCATAAATGAGTATCTTTTCTTCTCCTTCAGAGCAAAATCCTAGTAGTCTTACTAAATTTCTATGTTGAAGCTTGGCAACTACTTCAACCTCATTTTTGAACTCTTGAGCTCCTTGTCCTGAACTTCTCGAAAGCCGTTTTACAGCTACTTCTTGTCCGATGGGAAGAAGTCCCTGAGCATTTACTAGTCAACAAACAATTAGAGCAAACTAAAATAATGAACATATTGATGTTGCATTGCATATTGAGCCAAAGACATTACCTTATATACAGAGCCATATCCCCCTTGGCCAATTTTACTTTCATGAGAGAAATCATTTGTAATAGCTCGAACGGTAGCAAAATCATATTGTGATGTGGACTCCTCAGCTGAAACTCCAGTCATTTCTACAAGAAAGATGGAGAATACAATGTCTAAATTGCCAAAACTTGAATGGCAAAGTGTAGAGAAAATTAGATCCCAATGATCAATCTGGTGCTTTAATTTATATTACGTGTTGTCTGTGTAGTGGTATTTCGTTTCTTCACATTTCTAATTCTCACAAAACAGAAGACTGCAATGAAGAGTATAATTCCAATAATGACCGGAACTACAATGGCAATAATCACTTTTGAATATGAGTTTCTGCTTCTACCTGCATCATCAACATAAGTTTAGAATTCTGAAAAGTTTCCATTGATAAGTGTTTGATCCTAAGAGTTTAATTACCTTGTGTATCGTAGAATCGATATGTCTCATATCTAACATTACAGCTTGGGAAGAGTGTTCTACTCCCCCATGCTGCTTTTGCAACTACTTCTTTGATAGCACTTTCCATGCATTTCCGGCAATCGGAGTCGGAAAGATCCGGCGTGCACTGCCCAAGACAGTAGATCCTCTCAAATGCAGTAAAGTTAGCTTCTTGAGTCGCAAATTTCTTGCCAGATCCATAGCCGCCGCCGCCGGCTACTCGAGTGCCCATCTCATCCAAATTCTCTGCAACCAGCTCCATGAACTTAGCCGTCGGAGTATCGTTCCCGGGATTATGCGTTGAAAACTGGACCGCCGCCTGGCCGGCCATCCCAAATACCGACGTCTCCGAGTAACGCAACATACAGTGATCGTACCAAATAATAGCGTTCTTTTTCTGGGGGCATAGCAGCGGTATATCTGTGCAGGCTTGATTTACACAGGTCTCGCATTCTGCAGTTGAGACATCGCCCCGGCACATGAACAGGCCGTGCACGGTGTCGTGATCGCCGGCGCCGGCAGTGAAGTTGCAGAAACCGTTTTGGCGGTTGGCATTGGAAGAAAGAGCGGAGAGGAGAGAATTAAGGTTGGCTGCATAAGTGGTGGTGGGATTATAAGTGGAGCAAAAGTATTTGACAGGTTGGGAGGTTGTTTGGATGAAGAGGGTGATCAACACAAAGAATCCAATGATCGGAGGATGCATGATATATATTTTGGTTCCTTTTTAATGATAGATCCAGTTAGGGTTTAGGAGATTAACGAGTTGATGATGAGATGAGCAAAAATGGAGATTCAGAAGATGACATGTTTCGCTTCCTAGTGCCTATTTTATATATATATATAATCTACTTGCCAATGGGTTTGATTTATGTGTCTTATTATTCCACAAGTTTTTTTTTTTTTTTTTTTTTTTTCACATTTAGTCACATGACTATTTGGTCTCTAACTATTTTTTTTTTTTTTTTTTTTTTTTATATTTAGTCCCACAATTTTTAAAATATTGTCACATTTGAACTTTCGATCTAAATTTTGATCAATAGCCAAATTTGTATCTCTATGTTATTGAACATGAGTGCATAATAATCAAGTCATGACTTATTTTAAAAGACAATTATCATTTTTATGACATTTTTCAGCTAAAAATTTTGATATGAATACATAATAGTCAAGTGACTTATTTTAAAAGACAATTATCATTTTATGACAATGGTCATAAGTGTCCGAAAATTAGGCTAAAAAACCAAACGTGACAAGGTTTTAAAAGGTGTTGGACTAAATGTGAAAAATTAATAATCAGGGACCTAATATAGAAATGGACCATTAGTTATGGGACTAAAAGTATTTTTAAAAAAAAAAAAAAAATCTTATTCCACAAAGGAAGAAGCTATGAAGCCATGACATTATTTCTCCTGAATACAACTTTTCAAAATGCTTTTGTTGGATAGTGTACAAGAAAGTGAAAAAAAAAAAAAAAAACAATAATGTAAATTAAAAAAAAAAAAAAAAAACATTGAATGAATTTCATTTTTGGACCTATTGTTATAGGTGCTTTTCCAATTTTAATTCACCATAATTATTTTTGCCATATTGCGTCCACTATTATTAAAAGTGTTCCAATGTTAATCCATTTTAAGATTTTTCGTGGACTAAAATTGGAACACTTTTAATAATAGTAGATGTAATGTGGTAAAAATAATTATGGTGGACTAAAATTGAAATGACCCCTATAACAGGAGGACCAAAATTTGGAATTCACTCATTTTGTATTATATTCGGTTGTCAGTATATATACAATGGTCCTGTTTGGCAAGTATTTTATTTTACTTTGCTTAAAGTTTTAAATTGCTTGAATATATTAATACAAATCAGCGCACGTGAGTTCATTTTGCCATCAAATGCTATATATGTTCTAGTATTCTTCTCTCCATGAAATATATAATTTTTGTTGACTTTTGCATTGCGACTAATGGTACAATACTAAATTAATTAGGAGAATAGATAGGATTGGTGATATGGATTAAACTATATATGGAGTATGATGTTGGGAGGCGGGAAGACTTCATACTTTCATAGTCATGAGTCAACCATAGTTTTCCTTATATAATTATTGAATTAATTGAAAATAATCCGACAAGTTAAGAGTAAAATGTTCGCCACTTTAACGATATATGTTGAAGAAAGTAATTGATTTGAGACACACTTTAGAATTCTTAACATTGTTAGTGTGACTTACACAATAAACAGCCAATAACATTGTCATAAACTTTCTAATTCGTTGAAAATTATTCAATTAAAAGTTGTATGCTTTAATTTCAGTCTCTTTCACCAGTCTTTTTTTCTATTTTTGTACTCAATATAATGATCATATCACCCTTTATTCTAGCACAATTTTGCAAGTGAGAAAGTAGCCAAGTAGTCAGCGATGGTAGGTGGATCAATGCGTGTTGTAGAATCCAAGAAATAGTAGGATGTGTTTGGTTCGCACCTGAGCACAATTACTAATATTGATGTTTGGTTATGAACAAAAACACTAATCCAAACTTAAAAATTATATTACCAATAATATAAAATGATACCTTTTTAAATTAGAGAATGATTTTTAATTAAAACGGTAATCAAATCTCATAGTTGTATTTTAATAAGTTGTCCACCAAACATTAACTATGATTTTAATTCTCGTTCCTGGTGTGTAAACCTATGAACCAAACACGCCCTTAATCTTATTGGTGATCATATAGTGATCAAAACCTTGTATGTGGACACATGCAATATTGTAAACGAGGAAGTAGTCAAGTATGATTTTCTCTGCAATTAAATATTATTCTAACATAATTTGGAAATGTGGAACTCTAGCAATTACGAACAATTACTTAAACGTGTTTGATAAATAGTTGTTAGCTAATAGCTGTAAATTGATTGGGTTGAGCTGATAGTTGATTACATGCAAAATAACTTTCTCATAAAGTTAATCGAAAAGCTATTTTGAGCAGCTTTTGAATTTTAGCATTTTGACGTAATAAGTTGTTATAAAAAGCTAATTAATCAAACACTCATATTAATTGTTTAACCAAATCAAACAGCTAATAGTGATAAATAAGCCAACATTGACTGATAGGCTAAGTATTTTACCAAATAGGATCTTAATATGATTTTAAAAAATCTTATGCAAACACTTGTTGCAAGTGCATTTCTAATTGCTTTGATAGGTTTTAAATTTTAGAATTGATATTGATTTGAGTTTAGATGTCAAGATAAGGGTTGTCAACTATCTCTAACCACAAGGTGTTTCGAGTCTTTTTCGATTTATCTTACGGTTCAAGTCCACCCGATTAATTCCTGTTTGCTTCGGAAGGTATGAGAGCTGACTCAAGGGAAATTGTCACTTGTGAAACCCCTACAACCACTACTCCGTTATATATGTATATATATGTGTGTGTATGTGTGCGCGCGCGCTTGAAGGTATGCATGTGATTATTTGGTGTTGTGGGATACATAAATAATCACATGTAACATTTGATGATGGATAAAAAAAAAATAATAATTGTGAGGTAATTATAATCATGCACTCTAAAGTTGTAAAATTACAAGGATATGAATGTGTGTGTATATATACTGATAATATACACACAGCCCGACAGCCGTACGTATTTAAGATAGTCAAATTTGTACTAGAATTGTGATTGCCTTGGTATCGGCAAATTATGCTATGCGCACGTGCGCACCTTGCAAGGTGCGCACGTCGCTAAAACGGCGTCGTTTTTACGAAAAACGACGTTGTTTTAACTATAAAAAAAAAATTTGTTTGAAACGGCGTTAACGGCATATTCGTTATGAAATTATGAATATACAGTTATGACATTATGAATGTACAGTTAAAGAATTATGAATGTATAGTTATGGAATTATGAACTTACAATTATGAACATAGAGCTTCGAAAATTATGAATGTTCGGTATGGAATTATGAATATACAGTATGGAATTATGAATGTACAGTTATAGAATTATGAATGTACAGTTATGAAATTATGAATGTACAGTTATGAAATTATGAACACAAAGCTGTGAATATATGCTCCTATAACGAAGTGGTCTGAAATTAAATTTAAAAAAAAAAAAAAAAAAAAAAAAAAAAAGAGGGAAGATAACGGTGCCTGACAGCACCGTTATCCGTGCCCATGAAGCACGCTGGGCACGAGCCCACAGCATAACTATCCCTTGGTATCCAACTTTGGGCTTAGATTTGGGTTGCTTAAGATAGATTTTTTTTCACCAAAACTATCCAAAATTAAGCTGTTAATGGATTATTAATATCCGTCCAATTTCGGACAAGAAGATGCACCTCCTTACACAGTTACACTGATCCAAAACGAGATTCAGTCCCAGCATCAACCCGTGACGTTGCTCTTGATGTCACTTGTTAGGATCAAATAACGTTTATTATTATATTAAAAATTATAACTTGTAATTGAGGCGAGTCAGGCCACATTTATTTTTTAATATATCACCACATTTTCAAGATGCAGGATGCTGGATTTGACCCTTCAACGACTTCCGCTCAACAATTTCTTAGCCACCAATTGATGGATTTGAACATTCACCGGCATCGTCTGAACACTATAGTTAACATATTATGTATCTATTACAATTAACTGAATGTATATATTCTGAATGTCTTTTTAGATATGAGCCTACAATGCAAGGTGGACCATGGTCCATGGCATAACAGTTGACCATAAGTTTGACTCGTAATGGGACCATGGTCCATGGCATAGCAATGCAAGGTGGACCTTAGTGATGGTGTAATGATTGATAATAGGGGCAACTTGAGCTAAGTTAGTCGAGTTGTTAGTTTAGTGACCACAAAGTTTCAAGTTCGACTCTCAATAAGAGCAGTATAGTGGCCTTCTTGGTTTGAGTCGGGAATTACCATTAACATGAAGCAGTTAGTGGGGAATAATATTGTTCATGACTTAAAATTATGTGATCTAATTTTTATGTGATTATTCGGTGTTGCGGGGTATATAAATAATCTGATTTATCGTTAGAGGTAAGAATTTTAAATCATGAGGTAATTATTACTCATGACGAACTTGAAAAATTATAGGATATGTTTATATATACACACAGTTCTACTTATTTCAATAGTTATACCAAGGATTAAGGTTCACATTACATTGTGGACTATGATCCAAAAATTATGTCTCAGCAATTAACATATTATTTATTTTCAGTGAATAAATTATGTGCTTATAAATAATTTGAAGACAAACAATATATGAAGTATAGATAAATAATATGTTAATTATAGACACATAATTGCATTTTATGTGACTATCGCTATCTACCATTAATATATTATGTGCTTTTAATTTATTTACAAATACATAATCAGTGAATTGTAATATCATTTTAAATTATGGTCCACAATGTAAGATAGACATGTTGCATAGTATAATTTGCCTACGTATTTAAGGTGGTCCATTTTTTTGGACTAGAAATATGATTATATTGCCTTGGTATCCAATTTTGGGCTTAGTTTTGGGTTACGTAAGGTATCCAATTTTCAACAGAATTTTCCCACCAAAAGTATCCAAAATTAAGCTGTTAATGGATTATTAATATGTCTCCGAATTCGGACAAGAAGATGCACCCTCATAGATTCCAATGGTTATACTATGAAACATGATCCATCTTGGATTGT